CGCCGGCCGCGCCTGCACCGCGCCGCAGCCCGCGCGCCCGCTGGATGCCGGGCTGCTCCAGGTGCCCCCGCTCCCCGGTTGGCCCACGCGCCGGTAAAACCGGTAGATGTTACTCCACCCGAACAATGCATCTTTCATAGCTTGATTCTCGCTGTATGGTGAAGTACTTAGTGTCTAAGGAGACTGCTTTGTAAGCTGTTAATTGCTGGGGTGGCGGTGGGGGATCTTGTTAAGAACAGACTTACTCTATTTGTCCCCTTTATTTATTGATTTATTTTGCATTGATGCTATGAAGTGATGCATTTTCAAAATATAAAATTAATGGCTTGCTTTAGTATTGTTACTAGGATAAGGACTCCTGAGCAAAGATCCATCCTGTGCCCCTTAGCATAATGGCCTCAGATATCTGACTAAGCTTAGGGCCTCATTACCTTCATTTTTTTCCTGTCTRTTGTGAGCTTTAGAGTAAAGGGTCCACAAATGTTGTAGTTGTGGGTTAGTTGGATTAAATGTGCAGGTGCTGAATGTGTGACTTATGTCTTGCAGGGGATATCTTGATGACATAACTGCAATTGGGCCCAGAACAGTTGGAAGTCCAGAAAATGAAATTCATACTGTTAACTACCTCATAGAACAAATTAAGGCAATTGAAGTTGAAAGCACTGATGCCCACAAAATTTTTATAGATATACAGAGGCCCACGGGCTCCTTCAGTATTGACTTTTTAGGAGGCTTTACCAGTTACTATGCAAACGTAACCAATATCGTAGTGAAACTGGAACCCCGAAATGGAGCGAAACATGCAGTATTATCCAACTGTCACTTTGATTCTGTACCRAATACGCCAGGTATGTCCATGATCCAGGTTGATCCTACTGAAGCCTGTTTTTTCCAAGATTTGTCATGTTCTGTTAGGTAGTTAATTACAGATTCTGTTTCTAAAAAATTCTCTGTTTATATTTTCATTTCCTGTAATTCACTGTTTTGGAAAGCTTTTCCCTGTCTTGCAGCACTTGCTATATTTTTGTACTGGTTTAAATCTGATACTCATTTCACAGCCTACTTTGTGCTGTGTTTTTCCTGTTAATTTACTAACCACAGCATGTRTTTTACTCTCCTAATGCAGATATTATACTTCATCTGAAATTTCTACTATACGTATGCCATACCGCTTTTTATTTCTATACACAGAGGTTCTATATCAAAAGCTTGTAATGATCAAAAATCATGGCACTGGAAACCATGTATGGAATGGGAAATKGGACACAAATACTTGTAGTAACCCACCACAGGTGTATGCCCATATTGAAACTGCAGGCTGAGGTGAACTGCATGAAGAGGTTACTCTTTATGTATGTATCGGTTGCTAGTGGTCTTACTGCTGTGTACTTTGGATAGCAAAGGCTTTGAGGGCTTATACTTCTATGTTGTGCGGAAGCTGGAGTTCATCTAATATGGTCAATAATTTGAAATCTAGATGTCTTTGGGAACCAAAGATCTCTCCATTTCCAGCAATGCATTCTTTTAACTTAAGTGCTTTTGCTTGCAGCTTGCAAGCTGCTTTATTTCCTGATTAAATTTCATAATCTTTTTTCAGGAGGAGAGTAAGCTTTCAGTTGGGTTCTTAGTGGGTTGGCTTTTTTTTGCCTATTTTAAGTACACACACAAGTAATTTCATCCCCAAAACAGCTGAGTGCTGTCAAGACGTGCAAAGCACCGCTGTACTCTTTGCCCACTCTTTGAGAACAAACAGTGTGTGGACCACTTGGTCCTCTTCCAACCGTATTTAGACCAGGTGAATATCTGGTTAGTACAGTCAGTAATGGTGTTACTATTGTGTATGCCTTCTGGTTTTTTGAAACTGAAGATACACTGCTATATTTATAATCCAGATATGGCTGCCCAGGCCTAAGAAGAATACTGTGGAAGTGTCAGTGTTTATTAAAACTGTTTTTTAGATTGCTACAAGTTGCAAGTCAATGGCTATGGTCTGTAAAAGCTGGATTATGTATACATTACTTATTTTTTCAGTTCCTCAGAGTGAAGTATCTTACCAGTCCTGCATGTTAAATGCCACAGAAATATTAGTTATTTATATAGATTTACACAGAAGAGGTAAAAATCAACCTATAGCCTATTAATCACAAATGAAAACAGTAGGTTGTGGAAAAGAGTCAGAAAAAGAGTTTTATTATCTTATTTGGGGAGTTTTACTTAGTGTATGCAACCTGTGCAAGAATCTTTTTTCTTTTTTTTCTCCACTTGTTTTTTCTTCCAAGTTTTTTTTGCTCACAGCTTTGTTTTAATTATCAAACTATATTGCAAAGCCAGAACCACATGCCTGGTACTTCATTATCACATTTGAAAATCAGGTAATGTAAATGATCTGCTGTTGACTTTTATAGTTGCATGCTTTCTTGGTGTGATTAATGGTGAATGAGCTGTTTGTATGTTGATTATAAATCTGCAAAAATTTGGTAAAATTTTGTTTCCTTAAGGGATCAGTACTAGTTATACCTTATTAATTTTTTTAAAACATCACAAAGTTTTCGGCTACTTGGATGTTTAAAGTTTTTTTTTTACAGGTACCACTGATGTTCTTGTGTATACATTTATTAGAAAGCAAAAGAAACAAAATTGTCACTTTTTCTACTGATGTAGCTTAGTGTATAGTATTGGGGAAGCACTGAGGAAAAGGATGAAACTCAGTAAAGCATTAGGAAGCTTTAGTATCCATTTAGCTAAGGATCCAAGTGCAAAAAGAGGTGAAGGTAATAAAAAAAAAAAAAAAAATTGTTCATAGTTTAAACTTTACCTTCACAAAGAGATGCTTGTTGTTCTAATATTATTACTTAACAATTTGTTAGAAGAATGAAATAGGCTGTATAAATTTGAGGGTGGAGTTTTTATTGCAGAAGAACATGATAATGTGACTTTCTTGAAAGTTCCTGATGTGTGCCCTAAGAGCTATTTAAAACTACTTAGAATTTTCCTGTGTATTAATTGGGGTTCTTTTTTTTATTTTTTTTTCCCTGAGCTTGTATATTGTAGCCTGTGACTGCATAGCAACTTTATTTGGACATAAATATGCCTGTTTGAAAGAAATAATTCTGTTCTAGCTTCATAATAAGACAGCAAAGGACTGGTCTTGCTGAAAGTTAATCACACTTTTCCTGAGTTATTTTTCAGCACAATATAAACTAGATTCGTAAACTCTAATGAACTGAGATTGTAATACAATCAAGGTTTTAAACTGTGTTTAAAAGGAACTGCTGCTAAAATTTGTTTGAGGTTGGTGATTTTGTGAGAAATTTGCCCATTGCACAAAAGGGCAGATGCATCTGAATTTTGCCAAGTTATAAGTCTTGCAAAGGCTGCCTTTTTCTCTTGTGTAAGACAAATCTGGCAGCCAGTGAGTCTGCTCCAGTAGTGTGCTGAACAGTGCCGTGGGAAGCAGTGCTGATCGTGCTGCCATCTTCTTGGCGCAGGTGAGCCAGGCATGTGCAGTCTAGGCTGCAGGAGTGAAGTGAATGTTTTCCATCGCTCCAAAGCTTTATTGATTGGATTGAGTGGAGGGGAAGAGGCTGGGACTTGCACATAAGTGAGAAAATTGTCAGACAGGATGGTCAAGATGAAAATTTGATAGGGCAAGAAGGGAGGAAGAACTGGCGGAAAGTAAAGAATACAGTTTTGGATGAGGAATTAAAAATGGAACAGAAAACTCAGGTCAAAGCAAAAGTGATCCTGAAAGAAGGAAGCTGAGGATAGCAGGTAGTATTTGATTATGTTCAAACCACGTGATAGTGCACAGTCTCGTTTAAATAATGCTATAAAGCTCTATTTGACAAGTCCTTTATTCTGCAGTCTTGACATTTAGTTACTTTCTGGTTTTGTCCCTTTATTTAATAAATAACAGTATTATAGTGCACAGAATATTTTAGAGTAGGAATGTTTGAGTTTTTTAGGTTGTATTGCAGGTGAAATTATGTTCTTATTTTTTCCATATTAGAAAGATAAGTGTAATTATTTCTTTGCTTGTTAAGCTACATGATGTCCCCAAAACAACCCATCACCACCAGGAGAATTGGTTTTGGATGAATTATTATTCAAATGGTCTTAATATATCATTTATGTTATGGGAGGAGATGTACATCTAGTATGCATATGTAAAAACATCAGACTGTGAATATTACAGGAATATTCTTAACTTGAGCAACCCAGTCTGCTTTTTAAGAGTAATGTTGCATTGGGTATTTTGTACTTTACCTATTTTGAACTCTTAAACATTATTTTTTCTTTCTTCTGTTGCTGCTAACTAGTATAGACAAAAGATGCAAGCTGTAGAAGAAAATACTTTGAAGCTTGGCATAATTGCACCTCATATAGAGTTAGATTAAATGCAAATAGTTGAGAGGAACAACAAACTTCTTTCTCCTCTGGTCTTTATTACAGTCCTGTGTTTGTTGTAAGCCATGCTGTTCTACTGATTATTTTAAGGTGCCAGTGATGATGCTGTTAGCTGCTCGGTGATGCTTGAAATACTTAGCACTCTCTCAAAATCATCAGAGCCCCTGCAGCATGCGGTCATATTCTTATTTAATGGTGCAGAAGAAAATATTTTGCAGGTAAGAATGTGCTAGAATTTTAAACTGTATATCAAAGCTGTCAGTTAAGATTATGACAAAAGGAGAAGCAGCTACAGATATGACTTGTATTCTGACTGTTGAAATGTTAATATGCCAATCTTAATATCCTGAGGTAAAAGTACTTGCTGTCAAGTAAATGAAATACTTATATTAAGAATATTCTGAACATGAATTTAATTAAAAGACTTTCATATTTTACCTCTGTCTGTTGCTAAGTTGCTGCCTTAGCGGGATTTATGGTGTGATTTTTCTGAGATAGAAGAGAAAATTTAGCCTGGTCAGGATGTTATTTGACCTACATCTTCTCTTTTTCCCATCAAGGCTAGTCATGGCTTCATTACACAACATGAGTGGGCCAAGTCGATTAGAGCTTTTATTAACTTGGAGGCAGCAGGTGTAGGAGGGAAAGAACTTGTTTTTCAAACAGGTATGAGCGTGTGTTGTGTTCCATTTCTACACCAGGGTAATTTGATGATTATATAGATTTGAGAGAGTATTGAAAGTGGCTTGTAAAAGACAAGGGAACTCTTCTGCCCTTTTCTCAACCATCTGCAGCCAGTAAGTTGCTCTGCATCTTTAGTTTCATAAAGGCTAAAGCACTGCCACAAAATTTCCGCTCTTGGGAGGGTCTACTTGTKCAGAACAGAATTCCAGAAGTTGTATTTTCCGTTCCTTCAAAGGAGGTAGGGGGAAAAACAGATTAGGATGTTTTTCAAATCTTTTCATGATTTCAGGAAGCTGCTGTTAAACTTTTACACTTCCCTGGCAAGACTTAATTCTATTGTTGCAATTGCTTAATTGTTTCCTTGCTTTAAATGCTTCAGTGGAGAGACTTTAAAGGACAGTTTTAATGTGTAATACATGAGTGGCAAAATGGAAATGTTACTTAAGGCTGCACAAACATTGGGTCTTCTTTGCAAGATGTTTATTTGTCTTGTCACTCAACACTTAAGGCTCACCTTGTTTCCAGTGTAACTAATCCCTTCTCCTAAGTCTGAGTCCTTTAGCCAAAACAGATGAACTTCTTGGAGCAACAGTGTTAAAATTTGTTGTAACAAAAGTAGAAAAACCTCTCTGGAGGTATGTGTCGTAACTGAAGTTCAGATTTATTTTGTTAGCTTTTTGCCCTTTTTCTTAGGACCTGAAAACCCTTGGTTGGTACAGGCATATGTATCTGCAGCCGAACATCCCTTTGCCTCTGTGGTGGCACAGGAAATATTTCAGAGTGGAATTATCCCAGCAGATACTGACTTTCGTATCTACAGAGACTTTGGCAATATTCCAGGTATGTTATTGGAAAATGCGTCAGTGGATGTTATGTAATCATTTATCTAAGCTGATAACAAGAAGACTGTGAGCTGTTCACTCAGAGTACTCATTCAAATTTGGTTTTCTTTTCAGTGCAGGAGCATTTTTTTTTTTTTTTTCACTTTTTCTAAGGCATGAGCCTTCACTTCACTGTGCCATGTGAAATGTAAGTGTATATGTAGTGACTGGAGTGTATCAGGTAGAAATTATATGTTGGAAATCAAGTTTCCTAAAAACAGAAGAGTACCTCTAGTAATAAGTCAACTCTTAAATATCTTATTTAGAAACATTCTAGTAGTGATGCTAATAAATAATCTGCTTGTGGAAATGAAAAGCAAGTAACTGTAATTAATGAAGGAGAAAGTGAGTATTGGAAAAATGTGGAACACAAAAAGGCATCTGAACAAGTTCAGAGGAATGACAACTTGCTATCTGACAAAGGCTATTGCTGAAGTCACTTTCAACAAAAACAAACTATCTAAAGTGATTCTTAGGACAAAACCTGCTATGCCATTCTAAACATTTTCCAAAATACATTTCTGGCCTGAAAATCAAATAGCTCTTCTCATACAACTTGTTCTTTTTGTGGCAAGAACAATACCTACTTCATAAATTAATTCTCTCATTTGTGTTTTTTTAATTAACACAAATAAAATGATTGTGTCTGAATATTTTGTGCCTCCTGTAACAATAGAATGGAAGATCTGCTTTATTTTACTTGTGTCAAAGATGTGACAATTTAAAGTGCACACAGGAACTTTGTTGCATAGGCAGCTGAGGATAAGTGGTATTTGGGATATACTGAACATACAGTTCAGCTTGCAGAACCTAGAACCTCTTTTTACTGGTTATTTTATACATCATTTGGGCTTTGTAAAGAGTTCTCAGGCTAAACATTAGAAAACCTTTTCTTTTTCTATCTCAGGAGTAAAAAGAAAACATTGGCATTTTATGAGAATGTTTTTAAAACTCTACAGTATTGCTTATAATTACTTTATAGTTATATATTTAACTATATATATAATTATATTTTTATATATAAGTATATATAATAATTACTTTCAGAGTAGGTATCTACTGATATTTAAACTATTCAACAGTAAATATTTGTAAAGCATCAAGTGTGAAATCGAACATTTACCTTAATCTCTCTGCCAGTACATGTGGAGCTGGACCATCTCACCCTTTCTGAAGCTGAGATGACTGTGAGATTTTTTTTTTAAGTGTTTTTTGTCAGTACTCACCAGTCTGTCTATGGATACCATACAAATCAGTGGATTAGGAATGGCACATATTTTAAAATGGTTTTCATTCTCTTAAACAAGTATGGAATCCTAACTTATCTTCAAATTACAAAAATACTATTTTTGTTCCACTGAGGGAAGTGGGTGGTTTATAAAGTAGGGCAAATACCTTTTGAATGAAATATATAACTTTCGCATGTTTCTTTTGAGCTCTCATGTTGACAGTTTTATTCTTTTTTTCTCTAGGAATAGACTTGGCTTTTATTGAAAACGGTTATATTTATCATACAAAATATGACACATCAGACAGAATTTTAACGGATTCCATTCAGAGAGCTGGTTGGTATTTCAAGAATTCCGTTAAAATTTACTGAAAAGCTGTCACTTCATTTTGCTGTAACACTGAGAATTGAATTTCTTCATGTGAGGTACCAAGAAATTCATAACTTAAATGCATGGACATATTCTAAAGAAAGAAAAGTTAGCTATGTGAGTGCTTCTGAAATACGTAGGGAATAAGGCGTAGTCAGCTACAGGAATTAGTAAACTGTGTGTAGGCTATGGAACATATTTAGGACTATAGTCCACCTATCTTGAGTAGTTCCATTCATCAGTACCTAATTGTTTTTCTGAGTTTATTTTTTGATGTTCTGTGTTTATTTTTTCTCTTGCTATGTGTACCTCACTGATTAGTCTTCATCATGGGAAGCTCAGTTACGTAGACAGCATGAAAACTGACCTTCCAGCAGAGGTTTTTCTTTGAGAATAGATCTGGTCAAAATTATATATTGTTAATGACAGTAAGTTTATACTGTCAGTATGCTGTGGAGAAGTAGAATTCATCCTCCTCTAAGAGATTTAGCTCATAACAGTCCATTTCCTCAGTTACAGAAATAGGGAATGGAAGTGTGTTTTTCATTTCACAGAAGAATCTAAAATAAACCTCGATGCCTCCAGGTTGTTGCCTATTGCCCCTTTTAAACATGCAGAAATTGCATGTGTTATCTTTATTCATCTTTTGGCTCTAGCTTTGAAATTTTGGGAGTGAAAATCTAGTATCACTGCAAATAAATTACTTAAAATTGTTTTAAGCACATTTTGCAGAAATGCAGTTCTAAGAAAAGGTAATGGTTTCTCCACAAATTCATACTAGAAAGGTGTATTTTTTTGGTTTTTTTTTTCAGTCATTATGATGAAATAAAACATTTTTCTATGAAATGTATTGCTATGGAAAAATGCATGCACGCGCACACACACACGCGCGCACACACACACACACCCCAAAAAACAACAACAAACAGAATTGCTGAGCCAGTAGGAATTTCTACAGGGCAAGTAGAAGTAAAAACTGAGAACTGTTCTTACTTGATGTTTCAACTACATTGTGTGAAAGAATAGGTAATTGGTACTCGTATATTGCAAAGCAAAATATCCTTTGTGGTTCCTACCTTGCAGCCTTCTAAAGAAAGGCAGATAATTCACAGTTGGAGAAACATGGTGAGGATAGTATGGACTGGAAGGAGAAGAGCAGAGTTAGAAAATTATTCTGCTGTTACTCAGCCTTTAAGTCTGATTCCATAATATCAGGAATGAAGAAAGGTCTGTGGGCAAAGTGTGCCTGCTCCATTTTCTGATACTTCCACTGTGGTCTTTTAGTTCACAAAGCTTTTCAAGTATACTTAGTTTATGAAGTGCACACTATTTTTATAAAGTAAATCACTGGTATAGTTATGCTGTCTGCTGTTTTTTTTTGAATAGGGGATAACATTTTGGCTGTCTTAAAATATCTGGCAACATCAGATAAGTTGGCTAAATCTTTTGAGTACCGTCATGGAAATGTCGTCTTCTTTGATATACTTGGTCTATTTGTCCTGGCTTATCCTGCTCGTGTTGGTACCATCATGAACTATATAATAGCAGCAATTGCTTTTATTTATTTAAGCAAAAAAATACTACAGCCCAAAACCAAAGGTATGTCTCAATTTTGTGTATACATTTAATTGCTTTTAAACTGACCATTCATCGTTCTACTAATTCTACTAATTATTAGCCACAGTTGCAACATTGTCTGTATATCTAAACTCTGGAAGTGAATTTTAGGTATGTAGCATTCCATAGGAATTACTTTTAATTATAGAGATGAAGTCTCAGCTGTGAAAAACATGAAGGAATACAAAATACAAAAATAAATCTAAATGCTTAGCTATTGTGAATTGTTATGATTATGTCCCTTATCCTTACATGAAGATTTAAATTTAGTCTTTTAAAGATCTGAAAATGGAAGAAATTTTAGACTTGCTTAGCATGTGGATTAATTTATTCCTCTAATCATACAGATGAGTCTTTAGAAACATGTTTAAGTTTCTAGTATCTGTGTAAGATCTGTCTATAGACAGGGATAAATAATAAAGTAAATGGTGGGAAAAAATAATAGATATTATAAAGGGCCTATAACAATTTAAATCCTTCAGTTAGACCTTCAGTTAGTAAGAAGAAGTTGCAAGGAAAGCAACTGTAACATTTTTTTGTAGAGTTGAAGCCTCCCAGTGGTTTCAGTAGTTACCTAGACAAATTTTTACCCGCTGGGCACGTGGTACCCAAGGAACATAGTGGTACTCTGGGGTTTCATCTTGTGGTGCACAAGACTTGCAGGGGGACAGACAGAATGATCTAGACCCTGCTTTTGAAAAGTCTTTAAAGTAGATATTTTGGGAAACATTCTTCTTAGTTTAGTCTTTAAAGTAATTACACTCCAGAGTTTATTTTAATCTTTATACTCTGCTGTATAATGTGAAATTATTGGATAACATTTTTTTCTTTCATAGTTAATAACATGAAGAAATTCTTCACTGCATTTGGTTTAACATTGTTAAGTTGGCTCTCTACACTGGTGACCGTCCTTATTGTGGCAGTGTTCATTTCTCTCATTGGAAGGTCTCTTTCCTGGTATTCCCATTTCTACGTCTCTATGTCTCTGTATGGCACTGCAGCTACAGCCAAGCTGATTCTTGTGCATACACTAGCCAAGAAGTTCTACTACAAGGTAAGCCAGATTCACTGCTAATGTGGAAGGGAAGCGTACTGGGAAAGAAGAACCTTGAGTTGGTTGAGAAGCAGCATTAGGTTCTATATATTGGCCAGAGGTGTTTAAAGTGTTTCTATTTAAACTGCTTCATTTAAGCAAGTCTGCTGCACTGCAGAATCAGAATTAGCCTCCCTGATTTTACAGCTTTCTCTTGGCTAATGCCCTGTAGCAGCTGCTGTAGGCTGTTAAAGGAAATGGAACAGCTTTGTAGGAGGGATGATATAGATTCCCTACCCTTCCTGCCATCAGAGATCAAAGCATGAAATGAATCAGTAGAGGCATTAGTTTTTTTAAAAATCTTTTGATGTTCTTTTTAATACTTAAAGAATCAACATAAATATCCAGCGTTTTCTTGAATCGTACGTGCTTCTTTCTTCCAGATGTCTTGGTATGACAGATTCCCACAATTTAATCAATTGGTACTGTGTTTCTTGGTGTATATTTTATTATTATCTCATAACAGAAAAGGCTTAGGCAGAAGTTTGAAAGGATTACCTTTACACTGCTGTCATTTTGTGTCATGAAATCGTTGCCCTTGTTTAGATTTCTTCTGCATGGGCTAACAGAAACAGCTTTTTAATTGCATAGTAGTGTCATATTATGTAAGCAATAATTCATAATGTTTAGATGATGAGCCTGTTGCATCATTTTCTATTATAAAACCTTGAGCTATCCAATAAATTAGTGTGTACCCTAGAAAAACATTGTTGATTACACTTGGAAACCCACAGCAGAGACATGTGAATATCATTCTGCTCAATTACTTTTCTTAACCATTTAGACAAATTTTGGACAAAGGAATTTATATGTCCGAATCTGTCAGCAAAGTACAACTTTATCAAATTGTTTGAAATTTAAGAATTTAGTGAGATCGTATTTTAGGGAAACATAGGTGGATCCATCATATCTGGAAGTGCACCTGTTTTAGGTATTTTTAATGGATTGTCACACATGGAAAAAATATATAAAATGCAGTTTCTCCTCTTACAGAGATTGTTGAGTCTCTGTTTGAAATAGTGGCAGTCACTAACACAAACATTCTTTGGCTCCAACTATTTCAATTTTTGAATCTTATTCTCGTCTATTGCTTGTCTGATTAACATCAGGCCACAAGGTATCACGTTCTCTAAATTTTTCTTGCAAGTTACGGTTTGCAGTGTAGCGTATGTCTTATGCTCCTTCTGCAACACTTACTTGTCTTGTGTAACTCATAATAACATAACTCTGTGGTAGTGGCTCAATAACTCATGAATTAATTAGCTTTTTATTCTGAAGAAGGCTTGGCATCTCTCCCACCCAGAATCAAGTGCAGTGCTTGCTGATAGCAGTTGTTCATGGCAGCAGTCCCTCTTGGCTAGAAGCATAATATAACTCACAATTAAAAATCTTGACCTATAAACTCTCTGATACTGCCAGTATAAGAACAAAAAAAAAAAAAGGCATTTTTAATGGTTAAACTCTGTGTTTGTGTGATCTTATGAAATGCAATGCATAGAATATTTCTGCTCACTGGCAACTATTTTTTGTTACAGAATATGAATGATCAGTACCTGGGAGATGTGTTTTTTGATGCCTCACTGATGTTCTGGGCTATAGCATTGACTGTGCTTACTCAGATAGGCCTTTGTTCAGCATTCATTTGTACATTATGGGTAGCATTTCCTTTATTTACTAAGCTGATGATCCATAAAGAGTTCAGACAAAAAGGTAAGAATCTGTTTTTATTTTTTCATGTATGTCAAATCTTTATTACTCTGTACTGGGGTGTTTTCTGCCCACAGCTGTTCAAACAAACAAAAAACCCCAAATCCTTGGCACTTGAGTTTTGAGTAATCRGAGTACACAGGTAGTATTTTGTCCTCAAGTTCACATTTTCTTTACTCAAAGGCAATTTATGACTGTCTAGAAGCTGTTTAAAAAGTCTGAAGCATGTTCTGATTCTCAGGCTAAAAAGAGTGGTGCTATATGAGATTATATTAAGTCTTCATAGAGTAGGAAGATAGACAGTAAAGGTTGTTGTAAATACTGTTAAACAGTATTTTACAGTGGTTGGAATGAAACACCTCTTAGATATTTCTTTTTCTTTCTGGACTAGTTTCATGATGTACTTAAAATTGTCACACTGGCACTTGCTATGTAAATTGAGAACTACTTTCTGAGCAGTGTTAAGCGTGTGGATTAGTGTTATGTTTTGTGCTTCAAGGCRCTATATGCTTAGATAGTAAAGCTGTATAATTTTGTCCTAACTCTTGCGTATTTTTGTATTCTACTTTATTTTTCTATTCCATACAGGTACCACAATGAGGTTTGTCACAATGTACATGCTGGGAATGTTTGTTCCTTATCTGTATGTGATGTACCTTAGTTGGACTGTGTTTGAAATGTTTACTCCTATAATGGGACGAAGTGGTTCAGAAATTCCACCAGATGTGGTGCTGGCAGGATTAATTGTGGCCATCACTGTGATTCTGTCATCCTATTTTGTAAGTAGAATTTTTAATCATTGTTTGAAACTGCAAACTTTTTTTTAGATTTTAAAACTGTTTTTCTAAACATTAAAAGTAATGATATTTTGACAAAAACGTTGCTATAGGAAACTTCCAGGAATTCGTAGTCAGAGAAACATGGTGAGGATAGTATGGACGAGAAGGAGAAGAACAGAGTTACTGCTCTTCTGGGAAGTTTCCTCATTGAAGCAATGATTGGAAAAATAAATCTGTTATATGATGAATGTAGTAAAGACCGTAACTTATGCTGTTTAATGCTGCAGTTTAAACAAGTATTTTAGAAGAAGTGTGTGGCAGAACAGTGTTCATATCACACTTAGATTTCTTTTCAGGCAGTGTTTGCTGCAAATTGATGTTTTGGTTGGCAGATGTCTTTAGAAACGGATTTTTTTTGAAAGCTGAAAGCTTTGATTTTAGGTATTGAGGTTTTCAAAGAAGGGTGTTGTCTCAGGTAGTATTTGTGATGATGATATTTATTTTTTTCTTAATATGCTTTTAATTCCACAGTTAGATTTTAGACAAGGCAAATAGAGTCTCTTAATTCTGAATTACAAAGTTCTGCAACTGAACTGCTTTTTTTTTTTTTTTTCCCCCTCTAGATTAACTTTGTTTACCTCGTCAAAAGCACAAAAACAACTTTATTTACTTTATCCACTGTCTTTGTTGTCACTCTGATACTTGTCTGTAGTGGAATCTTCTTTCCATACAGTTCTGATTCTGCTAATCCAAAACCTAAACGAGTCTTTCTCCAGGTAAGAAACGTCTTGCATTTCGTGTTGCCTCTGTGTTGCTTGTGTATCTGCAGAGATAATTTAAATAAAAACCGTTAGGCGGCAACCTCTCCTCTGCCTTGAGGGGGAGAAGATTTTAGCTTGGTTTAAAAAGTATACAATTATTTCTGGATTTGAAAGAATTACTAGTACTTCCCTTTCTCACATTGTGTTCAGTTCACTTACACCAGAATAGTTGGGTGCAGGAGGGTATGTGAGGTTAAATGATAGCAGGAGACTTTAGTAGGTGGTGATCACTTATAAAATGGACATGATGGGAGATGTGTAAATATGTAGACAGTAATCTTCTAATTATAGATTTCTTTTTTTTTTGGTATACTTCTACCTAGGAAATTCTCTCTTCCTGTTCCTTAATATATGCAGTGTTCAGTGCATATTGAACAATCACTTCTCTGTCTTGCAGATTGCATGCTCAAATATGTGTTTTCTTGTGTGTTTTTTTTTTTTTTTTTTAGCACACAAGCAGAAGATTTCATGATCTAGATGGAAACTTGGTTAAAAGTGACTCTGGTATATGGATTAATGGATTTGATTATAATGGCATATCTCACATAACTCCCCATGTACCCGAAATCAATGACACCATTAGGACTCAGTGTGATGAGTCGGCTCCTTTTTGTGGCTTTCCTTGGATTCTGCCTGTGCATTTTATGTTCCGGTTGGTGTGAACGCTGCTTACCTTAAGAAATGACTGGCCAAAGCAAATTGACTATTTATGCAATTTTCCTTAATTAAGAGAAGAAAGAAAAAGTAAGGCTAATCTTGGTTAAAAGTAAATAAGTATTCTGATTCTGCTTTGGAAGATGCTTTCACTTCTGTTTAAGTGTAGTGTCTTGTGCAAAAACCTCTTCAAGAGACTGCTGATTCTGCTGCAGAAATTTTAAAACTTCTGTGAAAACTGATGTCAGCGGCCACCAGGTCTGCGGCCACCTGTCTCCTATAGCTGATGGTGAGAGGGTAAATTGGGCAGTTCAGAGTGCACATCTGCAGAGTGTGCACATCTGTCTTGGCTCTCCCTCTTTCACACTTTCATTCCTGCTGATAGTAAAGAGAGCCAGGAGTAGTAGCTATCCCAAGAGTGAACCTGCTACTGTGACAGCCACCTGTGTCCCCAAAACTTGTGACATCAATTTGAAGATTAAAGTGTCCATGTTTGTAATGTTTCTCTAGCTGCTTTGCAAATTACTTTAAGAGATTCAGTTGATGAATGAAAACACTGGAAGATGTTTTGTTCTTATGCAAATCAACTATGTTTTTCTGGACACAAGATGTTTTATTTTGAACTTCATTTGAATAATTAGCTTTGGAATATTTTATTAGTAATAGCACAGTCAGCTGTACAGAAATGTATTATTGACTTCTAATATTTACTACATATAGCTACTGAGATTAAAAAGTAACTGTTTTGTTACAGGAAAAACTGGTACCTTCCTGCTCCAGAAATTTTGCCAACGAGCCCTGTTCAATTTAAAGTTCTGTCCAAAGAATTAATGCCTTGGAATTCTGTGAGGTTAAGTTTTGAAGTGTCTGGTGAGTGAAGCATCTGGCGACTGAAGCATCTGGTTTGATTTTTCTCTCCTTTCCCCCTTCTGTACTACTCCTTCCCCCTGAGTTAAAACTCAGGTTCTGTTACTAGTACTGAAGGTTGTTAGGCCATTTGTACAGTGGTGAGTTTGGTTTTCTCTGATATTCACAAATTAGTTCAGTTGCATAACTAGACTTAGTTGCATAACACTAGAATCTGTGGGTGTCGTATTTCTAGTATTGAGACACTGGTATCTTGTCTCTTTTGAGTTAGCTTTCATCCTTTTGACCTTGTCCTTTTTTGAAGTCTGTTTGGTAGCTCCATCCCTGTCTTTCAGGGCTAAAACATTTATTTTCTCATTGCTTAGAAACAATTGAAGGCTCTTCYGTGTAGAACGCACTTGTTCAGTTGTACCTTGTTTCTGAAGATGTAAGATGGTAATATAGAGACTGCATATTACTGTTGAGGAATATAGATGTTTGGGATGAAGGGAAGTGGGGCAGCTCACTTTAGTTTGTGCACACGTTCAGATACGTTTGCCTGTCTGCAGGTCCCAGTCACATGTCTCTGTATATCCGCCCGCACGAAGGCTCGGCTCTGTCCATGTGGTCCCTGGGAGATGGAAGGCCCGTGGCGAGCGTGGGAGGGGATTACTTTGTGTTCTACTCGCACGGGCTGCAGGCTGCGCCGTGGCACTTCTGGATAGAGCTGACGGTGAGTGTGCAGYRCTGGSGCACGTGTGCTCAGGGACACGTGTYGCTGCGTCTGCGCTCTGCCAGTGAGTGCTGTAGCAACCTGCTCTATTGCTACGGAACAGAGGGACAAGTTATGAGCAGCTGTATCAGTTCACATGTATCTTGATGCCATTCTTTTCTTAATTTCTTTTTAGACTTTTTTTTTTCCCTATGTAATACAGCTGAGATCTAAATTCTACTTCAGTGGGATTTAGGGCTTTATTTTCAATTGCCAAATTGCCTTTGAGTAATTTCTGCAAACCCATAAGTTCTTATTACAGCGTAATCAGTGTCCTAATCTTTTTAGAAGTATTTTTAGAAGTATTACAAACCTGTGAAAGCTCAGGAAGTTKCTTGTTCCTTCTTGGGTCAGGCAGGTTAAACAGTTAGCTGGTACCCTCAATGGATCATCTGGTAAAGATGGACAGGAATCTGTAGTGCAACTAGCTTTGCAAGGCAGCCATGGCAGAGCTAAGCAGAAAAGTCTTTTCAGGCTAAASATTTGTAACAAGAAGATCAGTATAAATGCTAGGAATGCCAGCTCTCACTGCTCTTTGTCTTGATTTGTCACACTGGTTTCTTAAAAGTTTTGTGTTAGTATTTTGAGGATGTGCAAGTTGCATAAGCCTGTCAGAGGCCCTGTGATCTCTGTATGTGTTTGAGTTCAGTTTGAACGGAACTTGCATTGGATACGTAAAGGTACATTGAGGAGACTAAGAATGCTCTAACATATAGAACAATGGCTTGTGAGGTTGCATTTGCATATATATATATATATATATATATGCAGTCCATAAAAAGGTACATCTAGCTTGACCTTGGAAGCCATAAACAAATATAACTGTGACGTTGCTCTTTCTCACTTTCAGGCTTCAGAAAAGCATGCTGATGAAGTAGTCTCCCTTGCCATAGCAGCACATTACTTCTTTGGGGAAGATAAAAAGTCACCTCAACTTACTGCCTTATTGGAGAGACTTCCAAACTGGGTGTTTTCTTCTGGTTGGTGCTGTACTTATGACCTTTTTGTCTTCTAATGTTGCAGTACTGCTAATCTGTCATAGGATACTGCTGTAATAAATCTTGAAATATGGACACAATGCTGGAGACTTCCACGAGAAATAGTGTTTCTCTGGCAATTTGACTATTTAAACGTGAAGAGGGGCTACTGCTCTCTGGGTTTCTGCGGAAAATGCAAGGCTCCACACTGATGCAAATTTAGCTGGTTCTTCCACTGCAGTGGCAGTTAGGCTGCCCTTTCAGTGTGATTTCTAACTGCATTTGAGGAGATAACATTAGCATAATACAATGGCAGTTGTAATGAGAAGGTCCTACTGAGGAAAATAATTTGCTGCACTGAATGTAAAAGTACTTTACATAAATGTGGTGACTGCCACCTGCCAATCCTGTCCGTCCTGTTGAAGTAAGATCTTCAGCTGAAAGATGATTGTTTACATGTTTGGGGATGGTAAAATACTCCGGTCACTGGAGGAAGTCAGTGGAAACAGTGATGCCTGTGTTGATTGAATTCCCAGTCATTGCTAAACGCACAGTGTAGAATACTAGGTATTATGGAATGTAGTAATTACTAATCTAAATTTTTTCAAATTTTATCTTTCTGTTTAAAAAACTTAGTGCCTACCGTTTTGCTCATCACTAGTTTTGCAATTTGAATAGGTGAGCCTGACCAAATTATGATCTTGCACCTGTATTCCTGTTGGGACCCTTCAGCATATTAGCATGCGACTCGATCTGTTCTGTAACAGTATCCACGCTCCCTTGTGCAGATGTTYAACTATATTTCTGGTTATAAACTTCTAATTGTTAGAATTGGCTGTATTTTTTTGCTATTTCCTTTGAAGAGACTTGCAGTGGTGTGACAGTATTGCCTTTTGTTAATACTTTCACACTTTTTATAGTAAATTTTGTTTTCAATACAGAAAAGTATCAAGTTGTTGTATCAAGAGTAGCTAATACCTGGGGATTATTTTATTTCCACAGGGTGGGGATTATAAATGACATTATGTGATTTAGAGTAACTTCCAATTTTAACTGTCAAGCCTCGAGATCTGAAGCCCGTTACCGTTCTTTATCCCCAAAGTGTACTTTCTGTTTCCAGTGCAATGCATAGTTAACATTAGTTCCTGAAATTCAAGTAATTCTGAAGAAACTTTGCTTTTCCATGCTCAGGGTGAAATACTCTGTGCTATTGACACTCCAACATTAACACAGACTTTGTTTTGTTCATCTCATGAGCACTGCCAAGCAGCTCTTTGTGCCTGCACCATCACCTCACGTAAAAGGCACTAGTACTTTACTAGTACTATAGTACTAGTACTTGCAGGCTAGTACAAAGCCTGCAAGATAAGTCAATGTTTTCTAACACTTTAGCATTTGCTGCAATCCCTGACAGACAGCAGTTGCATGATCAAGTATTTTACCTTGACATTTAACTTCTTCAGTTTTTTCTGCAGCTGGGTATGYGAACTGTTTGAAGCTGTCAAGGTACCTTTGGAAAGGCTGTGACTGACTCACGGGTCAAGGGAGAGAGGTTCAGTTACAGGAACTGCACCGAACTGGAATCACTCATTAAATAAAGCAGACGGGTTAATGTGTATTAATTGTGACTTGGTTGCATCTGATTAAGTACAATTGTTATATTATGCATTCATTATTTTAAAAAGTCATTTTAAAAGTCATTTAAAAGAAGAGTTTGTAACTTACGTTTCAATCTTAACGAATACATTATTTTGGATTGCACTGCTACCTAGCTGATGATACCTACTTACCTAAAGCTGCACTGGCACTGGTTTATTGAGCGTCTTCCTTGGTTTTGAGTTCATTAAGCTTTTCTTTTTTTTTTTAATTTCCCTAATTTAAAGTTTCAAGGTGATGCATGAAGAGTATGTACAGAAAGTCAAAAAATGTAAACATGCCTGATAAAAATTTCTGGAACTTCAGTTAAGCAATACCTTTTGCTAACTCAGGATTTATCCTTTATTAAGTAATTAAATTAGGAGGAGGTCTAATTTCTTGTAAGTTTCTGCCTTTATAAATAAAAAGTGAAACAATTTGTGTTCAGTGTGGTCTTCTTTTTCAAGACACTTAAATTCTTAACCACTCTATGAAAGCTTTAATTAAGCTTTTTGTGAAAACTGGGCTAAGTAATGCTGAAAACAACTCTAGTTAGAGTTTGCAAGGCAAGTGTGGCTGAAAAACGCAAAAATTATCTAAACTGAGGCTTGTGGCTAAAATAATGATCGTGGCTGTTGGCCTGGACCTAAGTTTCCACTTGAAGCCTGATTGCAGCTCAAGGAGTAACAAATACTACAGCAGCAGCCTTTCAAATCAAATAGTTGGTTCCAAGTATCATAGCTGGAAAAACAGGATGGAAAATCTTGTGGACTGTTTCTGTTTCTTCACTCAAAAACAGCATAATCTTTTCCTACTACAGTTTTATCAGAAAAAAAAGAAAAAAAATGGTGTCTTCTTCTGTGTAGTATACACAAAGAAAGGGACCAGTACAGTTGCAGCTAAAAGGGAATGCGCATAGCTGTGCTCTTTGGCCTTGATAAGGCAGCAAGCAGCTAGTGGAATTTAGTGTATTCATCTAAACCAACCTACATGCAGCTTTTCGCAAATGGTTTTACTCTGTCTTTAGTCTAAAGTAGGTCCCTAGGTCATAACTTAGAGAAAGTGGCAGGCAGCTCAGCTGAATGGTGCCGCTCTGTGGTAGCGAGACCTGTTCTAGCATCCAAGTTGGGTGGGAAGCTTACTGGGAAAACACTGCTGGAAACAAGCACTGCCAGTTGTAACTGTTGAGCAGCTTCTCTCCATGCAGGGCGAGTCTAAGTGGGTGCCCGATGCTCAGAGCAGGACCTGCAGCTCTCACTCGTGGCTGCGTGACCCRTGATGGGCACAACGGGCGACGGACGGGCGGTTAAAAGCCAGCAGGAACCCCAGGTAAGCTGCGTGGTGAGGAGATGGTGCCGCTGCTGGTAAGGTGACTTGTGTTTCACATGGAGAACGGCCTCCATCTTCGAGAAAACCTCCTCCGGTCACAAAATAAATTAGACTTTTAGGGTCCCCGAGAGGCGGCTGCGGCACTCGGGGCGCAGCGTGGGGTGGAGGTGCTGCTCTGCACCCGGCAGCAGCCCTGAAAGCAGCCCGGGGGCCCAGGGAACCCCGGACCCCTCTGAGCGGGGCTCCAAGCGGCTGCTGCGGAGCTTCCAAGGGGCGACCAGGGCTGCAGCTGCACCACAGCACAACGGGCTCTGCTTCACCGTTGCATCTTCATGTCTTGGTGCTCTTTGATTATCAGGCTCTACAGCTACAAGGCTGCAGCCTACAACAGCTCCTAGCTGGCAGCTACTGCAGAACTTAAGCTTTTCTGGGACAAGCTGCTTAAACTGTGGTAGCTGCTTATGTTGTTGAGGTCAGAAATGGTTATTTTCCGCAGCAGTAACGTTTGAGTAAAATTGAATAGATTCATTTTTTAATTACATGTGTAACAGGGGAATTGAAATACAAAATGAGTGCATAAGTAAGTTTTGCATAGAGGTAACTACTGCTACAGAAATACAAATTTCTAAAATTTCACAACTAAAGACTTAAAAGACCTGTCAAACAACAGTAGCACAGTAGCAAGATAATGCTTGTTACTAGATGAGCTAACGTATGCATTCACTAATAAACAGATAGAAACTGAAAGATAAAAAAGTTTACTTCTTAGTATACTGCATTAACACAGAATCACAGAAGAATACTAACTTGAAGCACAGTTTTATTTAACATGAAAACTTATAGATTATGCAGGTTTTTCTTTAAAAATAGCTTTCTTAGTATCCCCAAAAACAATAATTTTTTTTTTTAAGTCAGTTCACAAGAGGCTTGTAAATCTTAATTTGGAAGAAAGTTTCTTTTAGCAATATGATAGGCATCTGTAACCAGTATCTACAATGCAGACTAAACTTAATGCTGGGACTTGAACTGGAGGTTTTTGCTGTAACTAACTTGCACCTAAGAGTTTCATCTCTTCAAAGTGGAAATTCAAGTTGCATCCATTAATCTCCAGCTTGCCAAGTAACACAATTATTGCACTTCTTTTACTGGTTTTGCTGGCTTAGTAAAGCCATTCTAAAGCAATACTTCAATATTTGTACATTTCAAAGCACTTAATCCTGTCTGCAAAAGAAATAGACAAGTAAACAAAACCACTATGTATTTCAACTTAATTATGAAAGCTCTTAATTTTCAGAATTCAAGCAGATTTATATTTAGCAATATACTAGAAAAATGACAGATGCTGAAACTACCCTTTGATGACTGGTTTGGTCCATGTTAGTATCAGTGATGTTATAAAAAAATAAACTAGTATTTGTATAAAATGAGCAATGTTGCATTTTTGTTCAGATTGCACAGTACAAACAAACTAATACCTACATTAATACTGTTACAGGTAGTTATTATATAGGGAGAACAGCTAGAAAAAGTAAGTACCTCAAAGCAACAGAGTTCTGCAGCCAGCTTTCCTAAACAGTGTTTGAAAGTTGAAGTCTTAGTTACAAGTATACAGATTATAAAATGTTTGAAAAAAACTTTTAAGTATGCGCTGTTTAACTGAACTTTAGTAGCAAGAATACATGATAAGCGACTATTTACACTAAAAATGTCCTTTTTTTTTCAGAAAAGAATTTACAAGTGAAATAAATATCTTTTAGCAATCCCCTAAGCCCAACCCTAGGATCTGTAAGTGGCAGCAGAAAAGGAAAAGCCACCTCGTGTCACGGCTGGGACAGGAAAGTGCCTCCTCATCCCCAGGGAGGCGCAGCTCCGCTTCCACTTTACTTGTAACCCAGAAACATGCACAGTACATAGGGGTACCTGCAAATGCGGTACAACTGTGAGTATTTATACAGGAGTATTCACAAAAACATACAATATACTTTGCAGTACTTTAATACAAAATCTTACTGATATCAAACCACAATCTGAACTGCATTGATCAGACTTTTCTTTGAGGCAGTCAAACAGCATTCTGTCTAGTTTCTATGTATTTGCAATTCATAAGGAAAACAGGCAAGCTGGGAAGGATAACAACTGAAATTTTGTCTTCCGTTTACCTTTTATACTCCAGCTGGAGGTACTAATGATGAAGGTTCTCCAGAACATGTGTTTTTTGATGCAGAGGAACTGATGAATATTAGTTGAAGCTGTCTACATAGGTATTCGCTATCTCTCAACACTTAACAAGTGAAAGCTGTATTCTGAAGCTTGCAAAAAAAAAAAGTTTCAAAAGAAACTTTTGAAATTACTAAATGAAACTGCTTTTTAGTTGTATTATCCCCACAGCAGATTTCAAAGACTGAAATTATATTTTTAAGAAGTTCAGAAGTCCACGGAAGCATGTCTAAAAGCTGGTTTGCTTCCTTACACACCTGATGCTCGAGAAGTCATCTTTCATTTAAGACACGATGCAGTCATAACCACCTTCTAGGAATGACTCTTCCTCCTCTGCCCTGGACTTGTCCTCCTCGTGTCGTGCGGTGCTGCTGCTCCCTGCGTCGCTCTGAGGATTAGTGCAATGGCTGGACGAGGTCCTGGTCTCCTCAGCTCTGGGATTTGCCTGTTCTACAACCTTGGAAGGATTCACRGGCTGGAAGGCTTCCGGCTGCACTTGCTCTTCTGCTATTTCACTTAGTTTCTGGATCTGTGGTTTGATGATATTTAAAAATGGCTTGTACCCAGGGCTAGAAAATAATGGGTATAGAACATTTAATTAGTGGTCAAAGAATGCCTGGAATGCAGTATTTTCTAGGAACTGTCTACCAAAAGAATAGTTTCTGTCATCCTTCCCAAGTCTTTATTTTCAAATATGGAAAAAATATAACTACAGTTAATTTTTTTTCCCTACAGTTACACCATGATTGCCCTGACAACTGTGAATCTTCTTACAAAAATGCTCAGGTTGTTTGAACTAGGGMTGACAGAATTTACAGTTTATTTCTTAACTAAGTAGCTACAACTGGAATGGAAATGGAAAACAGCTTACCAATCCGTGGAAGCCCATTTGTCAACAGCATGTAGACCAGTCTTTATGTTCCGACAGAGGTCCCCRTCAATATCGGAGGACTGCATTATACTGAAAACCTGGCTGATCACGGAGGATTCTCTGAGGATAAGGCCAATGACAACACACCAGTCCAGACACCCTGCTTCCATGAAGATATGCAGCAAGTACCTGAGTGAAAAACAGTTGACTTATCTCAGTTGTTTGACTCCAAAGACAAAAGCCCAGTGGTGTTTCTGGAGAGGGGGCTGCCTCTTTCCAGTTCTGCGTTCCCAGAATGTGTCAGTTCAGGTTTCAAACGCAAAGGCCACACAACTTACCGGAGCTGGACCTGCGACTTGTGTGGCCCCTTACTAGCCAGTTCCAGAGAGATATGCTCAAGCTCCGACTGCGTCAAGCTTAGGCTGGAGAAGTTTTCATCCACCATGGTCCAGTCCCCRTCCACCATTGAACTGGTTTCGGTCAGGTCTGTTGCTGAACCAATRCTGCACTCATCACCTGTCACAAACACAGAGGTGTAAGGGGAAAGGAAGCTACTTAGTTTAATAACGCTATTCTCTTTAATAGAAGAGCATCCCACACTTTATTTAGAAGTTTAAAGAAAAACATTTTGCTGMGGTGTGTACAAAGTTACCTGAGGCCTACTGTCCACCCCAGTTACCATTCCTACTACCACAGTAAACTGATACCTTTGTGCTGAGTCATTTCCTGGAGTGAAGCTGTCTTTATATCCAATGAAAACATTTCTTAAGAATAAAATGGATAAGAGGTACCTAAAATGATTACCAGCACAGCTTTTAAGAGATCATGAGAGCCTCCTATGTACCATAATCCTAAAATTAAGTCTGTAGAAAGTTTCAATTTACCTGAATTTACTGCAGATTAGCCTTAAGCAACTTCTTTCTTAAAAATTGGGTACAGTGATGTTATTTTCTTCATACAAATCATTCTGAATGATTAGTAATGAAGACATTTACCGGGGCTAATTAATAAAGTCACCAAGAGCATTTCTAATAAAAACAGGAAGAGTAGATGCAGCTGCAGAATTTTCTAAGGAAAAGCAGGAACAAAGCTACAACCATTACGATAAAGAGCCAAGAAGTCACCCAYGCTCCACAGTAATTTTTGTGTTAAAATAGACATATTTTTTTCTGTGGAAAATGCTTAGGAAGTTAGCAAGTTATTTTCTTGTCCATAAATAAATATCACTGSAGGATTTTTTATTTGTGAAATTATTGTGAATTCAGTTGACAATTCATTTGTAATATTTTATATACTATTAACATACTTTATATAAAATAAAACTAAGTGCTTAAAATGCACAAYGTTCATTGAACTCAAAGGTCTTAATTCAGCATAGAAAAAATCTGGTATCTGTTTGTACAAATCGCATTAGTGATCTAGAGATCTAGACAGAAATCRAGGCATTGCAGTGAAAGGAGCAACCTCAGTTAGAATGTTTTTGTGAGGACTACATAGCAAGGATATTTAAACCTAACTGCACTTTTGCAGTCTCCASAGACAACAAGCACAAGAAACAGGAACTGCCCATGCAGAGAGGCAGAACCTGACATATATTCTGTTTTGAAATCCGTAAATCTGGCCAGTTCCTCCTCCTTGAGCTGTGGTTCTTAGCAGGAGCCTTACGTTTCTCCCCTACTACAACAATTTGGTTGATGCAGATCTCACCGAAAGTGACTTCAGGACAMGACACAGTGAAAACAACCCAACCAACTACAACAAATCCCGGGCACACCTCAAAACTGGAGGAAACGAAGACTCRGACTAAACATCTCACCTATGGCTATGGTCAGGAGAGATGCACAGTGAATGTGATTCTCCCCTGTTTTCTGTGACCTAATCATACACTTGTTATTTGTCAAAACTTACTAAGCAAAACCATGGGAGGAAAAGAAAAATCTATGTGGCCTGTGCAATAAGAACTATTAACCTAATACCTGTTCCTGAATAGTCATAAAGTCTTCTGCAAAGTTTATTGCTAAATCAGAGAAAATGGACCCATGCRCCTTAGAGAAGCTACACCTGGAGCCTGGCAAAAAAACTCTCCCAACCCTGACAGTGAAGGCATAAAATTTCCATTCAGCTCCTCAAAAAGGAGCTTCTGCAAATAAATAAGTTTCATCTTTTGCTTAAAGCACCCACAGCTGCATGGCCTGGGCATCTGCTCCTGTGCTGGGAGTTTCACCCCGTGTCCCAGCGCCCGTCGTGGCAGTCAGGTCCCAGCCATCCAGCAGGACGGAGCGCCCCGCTGCCACGCGCGCCTCTCCGGCGGTGACCAACCTTTGCTCAGCAGAGGGGACAGGAAGGCGTCCTGCATGTGGGGCCCGTGCGACGAGGCCGTGTCCATCTCCCTGGGAGCGGGGCCCATGGCGCCCAGCCAGCTGCGGCTCCGGGGCGCGCTCGGAACCCCTGCTTCCACTTCCACGTTGAGGAAGGTGTCTGCAGACTGGGACTTCAACAGCTGTTCCCCCATGGCTAAAAACAAACACACACACGAGAGAGGGAAAAWAAAAGTGAAGGACAGGTTCTGTAACCGTAAGAAAGGAAGGCATTTCTGGAAGCTAAAGGCTTTATTTAACATTTGTTTGATGAGAAATGATCAACAGCAAGTTTAGCTGTTTCAAGAACTGTGATCAGTTCGTTTTTAAGTATTGRCATAACACCAGCTAATAAACTACTACAAGACCCCTGAAGGAAGACCTGGCAGCGAGGGTCAGCTTCGCTCCAGGAAGGTGAACTACCACACTCAATGGGGTGAACTACCACCCCAATGGGGTCCACAGCAAGTTCTTTTAACAGTTAGCAGATTTTGAAGATTAAAACTGCTAAACTTTAAAAAAAGTTAGTCAAATCATCACCTAAAGATGAGAGTGACTATGTAAAAATATTGTTGATAGTAATTTTCTAAAGTAAAATTTATATTAAGGACCAATAGCCAAAGCCACCTAGTAACTGCACGAGTGGCACAGAATTCTAAGTGTGATTCGATGCACAAAACCTTAACAGGGAGAGCAGCCTGGCAGGGCTATAGAGGAGAGCATGTCCGTGCTGCTGGGGGCAACCCCTTGGGAACAAGGCAGACGGCTGGGCTGGGGCCCGACGGGGAAGGGGAGGCTCTGAGCGAGGCRTGCGGGGCGGCGGGGGGAGCCTGGTTCAAAGCAAGGTGGGCACCACAGCACCTGTCCTGTACTTTCCGTTCTTGAAGGGCGAGTTAAGGGAGGAGGCCGGTATGACGGGGAAAGGCCAGAGGAAATCCTTGTGCAGCTTCTTCAGGGCAAGCACGAAGTCCTCCACGCGGGCGGCCCTGGCGCGCTCCTTGCACAGCCAGCCGATGAGCTCGAAGCCCAGCTGCGCCGCGAAGCAGCCCAGGTCCTTCAGCTTGATCTCCTCGAGCAGGCGCCGTGCGTGTCGCCACAGCATCATGTCGATGTACATGTTCTCAGCACAGTCGCTGTCCTTGCTCCACCTGGGGACCAGTCACAGAACACTGTGCAATTGTATATGCATGTAGCACGTRCACATACATACATGGGGAAGCATATTGCACCAAGAATACGAGAGAGGCACGGGCAATACAGAGGAAAAGAGTGTGGAGGGAGACGAGGACTAATCCATCACACTGYATTTTCTATAACACAAACGGTGACAGCGAGCCCGGTACACAAGGAGGGATGCAGAGGACAGGCATGACCCCCTACCTCTTCCCAGACGGGCCAGAGGGCATGCTCAGCGTCTTGGTCAGGTTGAATTTGTTGTGGAGATTCTCTGCTGACTGCGACAAGCTAATGCTGCGATGTCGAAAGAACTCAAAGCCACTGCTTGAACTAGGTTCCTAAAACCAAGAAAACCCAAGCGTGCAGTCAGCGCAGCCAGCAGGACTGGCGCGTTGCTGACAGGCAGCAGGGAGGGCCCCTCAGCCACGGTTTGACGTGCAGTGTTTACTGCTTTCCTCACAAACCTGAGGTGTCGGCGTAGCTGGAGGCGTCTCTGTTTCTCCAGACCCGATGGCTTTAAGAAATCTGATCATATGACGGCAAAGATCCCACTTTCCCTGCTCCAAAGCAGTGTTGAACAGGAGGGTGGCATGCTGCCTACTAACTGCTGGAACTTCCATATTCTGCAAGAAACAAAATATAGTAATTAAGTCATTTGCTTTCTCCATCCAGCAACAAAAAGCATTTTAAAGTCAATCCACTTCATGTTGCATAATACCGCCATATACTAGACATACATTTGAGGCTTTTGCTTTTCTCTTTATGACAGCAAATTAACTACTCACACTTCTATATATCCTCCTCTCTGCCACTGATCATCTCAGCAGAAAACYATTAAATTATGCATGTGTTTGGTAAAGCAACTGTTTTTACATAGCACAGCACTGCTGAATATCACCTCCCTTTTGCAATGCAGAGAGCAGCATTACCTGAAGGATGATAAGGTAAGAGGCAGCTGTGTCCAAGTCCTGGGCCATTAAACACTCCTCAAACAAGTCCTTCGGGTTCCCCACAGCAGCAAAAAGGTAATTCCACAGGGCATACTCTGTCTTCCTAGCACAATGCACGACTGTCTGCAGGAAGAGGGGGAACTCTGTAATGAACTTCGCCACAGTGGGAAGCAGAGGGTCGGGAATGGGCTCCCGCGAGGTAGCTTCTTCTTCCAGCACTTCATGGAGCATCAGTTCCAGCACGTGAGGGAAGTAGGGTAACGTGGCACAGGAGTGGGCCAACAGCAAGGCTTGCTCACCGAGGTTCCGAACCAGGAGCTGGCGCAAGATGTGATGGAGGTAGATCTGAGAGGTTCTCTCAACAATGGAGAAAGGGAAGAGGACCTCTAAGTGTTCTCTAGCACTGCTTTGAGTGTACAAACAGTCGTAGAGCACAGTGTCATTAACAGCACCAAGAACCAAGGCATCTTCAAACAGAACAGCCAGTGGGTATATGTTGATGTGGAAAGGCAGCATGATCCGTCTCGAGAGGAAGGAATGTGGTTTGCGGTGGTCTCTGGGGAACAGGGGCAGCCAGACTTTCATACCTGCCCCGCCGCAGCTGAGCCACAGAGCCTCCAGCAAGTGGCGCTTCTGCTTGTTGACCCTGCACGTGGTCCAGACGTTCTCCACAGACTGCGCGAGAACAACCGGCGCACAGAACGGCAGCTAAAAGACAGAGAGGGGGGAAAGAGCATTATCAGCACTCATTGCTTGTTTTTCTGCTTATAGGAGCTCTTCCTTCTGCTGAGAGCTCTCTCTCACACTACATTCCGAAAAACAAAACAAAACTAAAAAGAACCAAAGCTTTTTTGGAGAGCAGAAATTTTCATAGAATTATTCTATGAAATATGAAATGTTCATATTTATTCCATGAACATTCCATAAACACAGAGAACAGTTTTGGCAGTAGCAGACTATTCTATGAAAATGAAATTTTCATAGAATTATTCTATGAAATATGAAATGTTCATATTTATTCCATGAACATTCCATAAACACAGAGAACAGTTTTGGCAGTAGCAGACTGAAGATTTCCCCTACCACTGCGGAGTATCTTTTGTGTCAGACCTTGATGCTTAAAACTCCTCTTTTACTGCAAGTAGTAAATACAGCTAGTAAACCTAAGCAGCAGATCCTCCTTTGGTCAGGCTTTCACATAGTTAAGGAGTGATTTCTGAGACTTCTGAGAGTTTTTTTGCGTGAGCAGGGGGGCTGGACTCGATGACCTCTGAGGTCCCTTCCAACCTTCGGCATTCTATGATTCTATGATTCTATGATTTTTGGAAGATTCAGAGGTGTGCAGATGCAGAGACTGCACAGCATTACGTATGCCTCTTCTTTATGCTTAGAAAGGGAGGGCCCTTCCACAACTTGACAAGCCACCAAGCCCTCTGAAACTGCACGCAGCACCTTTCCACGTGCATGTACTTACATGCTTCCTTTGGTTAGGATTATTATCCTTCTCTCGTATCTGGGGGCCGGAGCGATCCCGCTGCAACATGATGAGCTGTCCAGCCAAGTTCAGCATAATGCTTTCAGCCTCACAGGCCTCAGAGCAAAATGAAACAAGGTGTTAGGTAAATCCCTTATGCTCCCCGACATTACCAAGAGCTGATCAGTCCCTCTCACCCACAGCTCAGGCGCTACCCGAACACGGGGGTCCGGGCCAAGGGACAGGAGCAGGGGCTRCTGCGCAACCAGCCGGGCCACAGGCTCCCACCCAAGGGCCACACAAGGCAGCTCCGAGCGCTGCCCCACAGGAGCTTCAGCAGCCTCCCAGAGACACCTTCCAGAATCTTAACTGCTCAGCGGCCTAATTTAGAAGGGGTGCTGCACAGAAACCTGGAATCGCTGGTTATATATGTATGTATAGATGCTGCCTCACACAATCATTATATGCAAAACTGAACTTATGATAGTTGGAATAATTAGGATATTATAATTAATTACAATAATTACTGATTTAGTAGTTTCCAGAAATGCAAATTAAATAACGTCATTATGCTAATAACGCTGCTAATTCAAACACAATACTGCCAGAGAAGATGACAGTTTTTGATGGAAGAAATCAAGTCTTAACTCCCAAAGCTCCCATACTGCCAAGCCCATTTCTAGGCTCACATCCCTTAAAAGAAGGTTTTGTCTGTTATAAATTCTGAGTACCCCTTCTGCCAATGTAGATTCAGCAGCTTTCCTGTCCAAGTAAGGCAGGACTCTTAAAACCCAAACCTGTGCAGAAGAACTCAAAACAAAACAGCAGAGCTGCATCTGCACAAAGTCACATGCATAACTCTGGGGTCAGACTCATAGTTCTTTGGAAAAGATTCATCCCACAAGTTCAACTGATCTTGCTTACAGCCTAGGCAACGACTTTCCCACCTACCCCTTTTGGCACAGCAAGGCACAGCGTGCTCAGAAAAGCAAAGCTTTGTATTCTTAGTGTCCTCACAATTGCACAACGACCAGCATCAGACTGCAGAGACCCACACGGGAGCCAGGAGGAGTCAGCTGTGAACCTGCACCGGACTCCCCGCTTCCGAGGGCTGCGGCCAGACCAAAAGGCTTTTACTTGGATATATCAAGGAAGCAAAGTACGGATTTTAAGGATATATTTCARAACTGTTTCATGTCAGCTTTCAAGTCAAATTACTTAGCACTATACTGTGCATAACGCTCAGCTTTAATATGTAATGGCAGAGGGTTTGAGGGGTGAACCTCCTGCATCTGGGATTGAGATCCTGTACAGATCACACCATCAAAGTGCTGTCTGTCCCTGCTTTAACCTGAATGGATACACGGTGCTCGGTGCTGGTCTGAAGAACTGCTGCAGTCAGGGTCTACAGTGCAGCTGCACAGCCARCCCCGACATTAATGCTTGTCTTTTCACTGGAAGAAACTTCTAACACAAGTCTCAGGTTTCCTTTGTATAAAGGAGTTGACACAGGGCTTTACTTTCACACCTCACTCAGTGTTCGGCCTATCTTCTGCAGAACTGTTGAGACTGACCATTTTCTTTCACTTTTACTTGCTATATTAGGAAACGGACTAGAAGGAATCTTACAAGGTCATGTGATTCCTCCCTTTCCCCAAAAATTTTGCSGTTAATTCCTTGTTTGATCAGCATCAGAGATGCTTCCTAGTGCCTTGCACAGCTCTTGCATTCAGCGTTTCTCCACACAATGGAGAAACATACCCCTTGGCATAGCAAAGTTTAATTTATCCTCTGATATTTGGTCTTACAGGTTTTACAGAAATGACAGGAGGGGACATGAAACAGAAGTAACAGTCTGGATATTTTTCCTTAGTTCACATATAAAAACATGTTCTGCTTGTCACCAGGCAGAACCAGCCCTGCTTTGTAACAGTWTCAGATGAGCTCTGAGAAACAACCAAATCCAAGGCTGCCACAGACTCTTTCACATTGGAGCACTGTAGAAACGAGTACCTGCTGAGGCATCTTCAGGCTGATGCCAGTCTCTGTCCTCACTGAGGTCAATGTAACAGACACTACAAGAAAAGGATGAGGAATGTATCGGGACATGGATACTTCTTGAAGAATCTGGATACTGGCAGTAGGGTTAAGACTGAAAGAAAAAATAACTTTGTTCAGAGAGTTTTAAATAGTAAAATCAGCATCTCACAGCAAACACTGAAAACAACCAAGTTAACCTCAGCAAACAATGAGGGAAAGTCCCWTTTAATTGGGAATCCTGCAGGCTCACACATCAATATCACAGAATGTTACCTGGTATCTTAACTAAGTTAGTGAATCTTCATTAACTTTGGGGGAAATCAAGTTATGAATAAAATTAAGAAAATACTAAATACTTTGTAACATGCCCAATAAGATGATTTTAGCACTTGGGTTTGTTTTCTTTTCTTTTCTTTTTTTTTTTTTTTAATTGTTGTTGTTGAACTTAAGGTCTGTAAGTATCCAGTTCTTGTGCAGCTATTTGTTTTGCTTGCAAACAGCTCCCCACAAACACACCGCATACCAAACCTTTTCTGTTTTCATGCCCCCACAGTCCCCCAAAAATTCTTACTTGAAATGTTTGCAACATTTTAAAAATATTGGAATATATGAGTGTATTTCAATGTCTTTTTCTTCTGTTTACAGTCAGTTTCCAAGTTCCTATTAGCTAAAAAATCTAAATTTTGTAAAGCATCTCATTGCAGTGTTTGGATATACACAGCTCAGAACAGGCCTATTTCAGTCATTAAATGCACTTAATCTGTGCATTTCCACAAACACAAGYGACAACACTCATGAATTACTGCTTACACAGACAGACGACGCTTGCCACTCCAAAACCACATTTGAAACCCAGACTCGAGAGCTACCTCGCAGCGCGCCCCCTCGACACTCACCCCTCGGGGCGCCTCTCGATGCTGTAGAGGCAGATGGAGCAGTCGCCCCTGAAGAGGATGACGATGTCGCGGAAGACGCTGAGCAGCAGCGTGTCGGCCGGCACCCTGGCGATGTGCGCGAACGCGTTGTCCAGGTTCGACGTCCGCAGGTAGATCCGCAGCTGAGGGGGAAAAGGCCACCTGGAGCACTGCCCTCATCGCCCGCGGAGGGGCAGTGCCCAACTAGCCACCTCTCCATGGAACAGCTCCCGAGGGCTGCCGGCAAGACCATCACTGCGTTTTTGTTTTAACTAAGGATTTATCCGTCACATTGCACAGATACATCAAAAGTGCTTAAAGAATGCTACCCCCAGCCAAGAAGAGCCTAAGAACGGAAGAATTTCCTTTCTTTAGCACAAAAACATGTTGAAAAAATCTAAAATTAATCCAAGTTCTTATGCCTATCTTACTTGGAAACCTCACAAAGTTCTCCCAAAACACCATAGCTGGAAATCTCAAAATAGCCTTTGTGCTAGCATTCAAAAATACCATGCACTGTTTGGAACAGTAAGTAGATTTGTGGTAGTCATCAGAAAATAGCTTTTACTAGCTTACTATTATAAGCTTATTACTATAACCTTTTCAGCAAGAAATTAGTCACACATCTAAAATTAAAAAAAAAAACTGAAGGTGACTAAAGCCACCATTATCACATTTTACATATTTATAATGTTAGAGTATATGTGATATGAAACCTTAAAACTTCTTATTCAGAATAAAAAAAATATAACTGACCTCTTCCTGATGATCATTTAAATTATAGCAGGCAAGAACAATGAAATCATTCCACCACGCTAAGCCACCTGTTACCATCATATTTTGCTCCTTAAAATAARGGGGAAAAAAAGAAAAAATGACAAGAAAATGAMAAGATCTATCTATATATACATATATACACAAAAAAGAACACACATACTCAAACTCACACACAAATATATAAAAATATTGCTGCATTCTGCGGGCAATTTCTGAAAGACAGARATGATCTCTATAAGCTTTACTGATAACAGCAAGACAATCTAACCAAGGTATACAAAGTTATTCTTGTTCAAAAATAATGGCTGAAGAACAAACAGTTTGTCCTACAAATATCCTAGAAAACCTTGCTCTACAGGTAATCTGCCACCCCTGACCTGGAGAATCTCATGGCATCCAAAGCAAGGCCTCTCTCAGRCTCTTGGATGTTGTATTAGGAGTTTGACTCTACGTACTAGGTTGGAAACAGTAATGAGACACAAATTATATTGCTAAAGCCAGAAGTGTTCCACCTGTTTTATGAAAAAGATACAAGAAAACTAGACTCCCTCATTCCAAGTGTGTCTTGAAGTTGTTTATTTGGAAAAGCTACTTTTCATTTTCTTAAACATTTCATTTCAATGTCGAATTGCCCAAGCATACTTGGACAAAGTTCAATAATCACGTACCTGGGTAATGTTTCCAAACAGCTTCCATTTTTTGGTGAGTAAAGAATAATGTGCAAAACCAAACTTGCCAACAACAGCTACATTCTGTCCAAGCTTGTCAATGGCTGAAAACTATGCAAATAAAGAAAAGAATTTCAGTACAGAAATTTGAACTGCATACTCTAAGCAAACACCTCACTACAAGCAATATACTAGAGATAAAATTTGTTAAGTATCTTCACATTTTCTACTATCCTGTCCATRTTTTTATTTTTGTGATTTAATACAATGATCTTCCCTTTGAGAGATGCAAGCCTAAAGAACAGTCGTAAGAACTTATTTTTAATGAATAACATATTCTTAAATTAACTTACCCTTATAGGCCAATTGCTCTCTAGATATGTACTGTGAATCTATAAAAGAAAAATTAGGAAAAAAAAATCAATAAACAACTATACCAAAATCCATTAAGAGTTGTGATTATTAGGTGTGGTATTTRAATCAATAAGAGCATGTTAAAGGCTAATAGTAAGCGCAAATTTCAGTTCTATAAGCTCTAGCATATACAAAACATACGAGGGCAAGCAGTGAGAATTACCTGTACAACATGCCAATGCCTGTGTCCTAATAAAGTGCTTAAACCCTGAGAATCTAAACTGCCCTCTGGAAATGGACCTCTTTCCCTGGTAAGCTTGTGTTCAGGGTGTCCTGAAGTATTTCTGGGACTCTGAGCTTGTGTGGCATCTCCACAGTTCAAATAYAAGCGATCTTCTCCTTGAAGGAGGACTTGTTCCTGGTTACTCTACATGAAAAAAACAAAGCAATAGAAAGTGCAGAAAACAAGTAGAAAATCACAAGATCACTGCACTAGTAAGTTCAACTTAAATGGCCTGAAAAACAGGAATTAAGGCAGCTTTCAATCTTATATCAGTATGATGCACTGAATTATCAGTTCAGTGTTATGAACCTATACTTCATAAATACAGTTCCTAAGTACAGTTTTATATTAAAATATTTCAAGCAGTATTTTCAAAGTAACATTTTAAAGGCTTCATTATAGAGATAAGCTTAAAAAAAAATGGCCAATCCAATGGTTTGAAACCAAATTTAAAATCTGTTAAAAGAGTAACTCAGAAATCCCTGCAAACTATAAATATTTGCTAAAGAAAAATTTACCAATAAAAACTTACCATACAAGGATTAACAGTGAGGGCACTCTTGATGAACTGAAACTGCAGAATACCAAACTGCTGACTTTCATTCTTTGCATCTCTCTCAGGCCTTGTGTTTTGAGAACAATTTCCATCAATCACCCACAGATGATACCCTTCTGAACCCCAGCTCTAAATGTTAAAAAAAAAAAAAAAAGTAATAACTATTGATTCTCAGAAAATAAGAGCTATAAGAACTCATTGTAATTGATCTTAGATTTAGATACAGGACAGGGAGAAAACCACATGACTGCTGCTTTGAAATACACCATCACGGTCATTGCAAAAGTGCCTCAAGCAAGAAACCCCCCAAGAAGAGTTAGAATCTAACTTAAATAATTTAYGTATATCAGGAAAGATAATTTTGTAAGAAGTCTACTTAGGTTATGCAGACTGTTTAACCTGATGGCTTAAACCAAGAAAAAAGTCAAAACACATACAGAATCAGGTATAAAATCCTGATCCCAATAATGACAATGATTATTGGTTATTAACTTCAAAGATATCAGAATTTCATCTTTTTTTCCAAAAATTACTCTTGCAAATACATATTTCCAACCAGGGTGCATGTTCAAAATTATAAATCTTGAAAACTTGAAAGAGCAAAGGCTGTATGAAATAAAATCTGTGAAAGACCTTGAGTATAATTAAATATTATAATAATCATGTACTGATTTATTAGATCACCAGGATTCCTTAATTTGTATGTAATGAAACCGTAACAGGTAATTTTCTCATGACTGTGCATTRAATTACTTCAACAGCCAAGGTAGGCTAGTAATTTCAGGAAAATGAGTAAATTTCTATCAGTGAAGTTTTGTGGCACATGGTATACTGAATTTCAGGACAGGATAACAATTGATGTTAAAGGGGAAAAAAGGCATTCACTCTGATATTAAAACAAAGAAAAAAAAAGGCTTAGCATGCATACTTCATGATCAGGCCCATTCTCCCTCTTCTCTCAATACAATTCTTGYATTAGAAAGTATCATTAGGCATCTTACTAATCACATGTAAACACATCTGAAGAAAGCCAGTCTGCTTTTTCTGAAAATCCGCTGATTAAAAATAACACAGAGAACGAATAGCCATCCTGTTACAGTACTTTTACATTCATATTTACCATAGAACTGATCTTTAGGGGGTCTTTTTTGGTTCCATCAGACCGATACCTTAAAAACAGAACAAGTTTGAGTTTGGAGTAACTGCATCAAAATTTAAAAAAAAAAATAAAAAGAAGTATTTTCCTATTGTGACATTAGCATATGATGGTATTTTTATCCTCTCCTCCAGCTGTTATTTGATYCATGCCACTGCCTAAAAACAAAGTAATTGCCAGTTGTAAGGAATAACACTKTCAGGAAGTATATTATATTTAGTAGAATTTTAATGGTATTTTCCTGGCAAAGCCTGTTTTTAGGTAATTTGCTTAGCTGTCCAAAAAGACCACTACAAACAAGATCTATTACTGATATTTAAATGATCCTCTCCTAGGTATCACTGGATGACTCTGATATGTTAGAAATTATTGTGTAATGAAGAAAAAAATAATGCAATTATCTTTTAAATAAATCTTTAATTAGAAAAACAGAATGTTTCATTCCAGTATTTTATAACTTTTAGCAAAAGATACTCACGCAAAATCACCTCCTAAGGTACAGATAAGTTGAGCACCAAATACACTCCATAAGGACAAACCTCCACATTCCCAGGTCACCATTACAACACAGCTGTCAGGTGACCATCTGATAAGTTTAACAGGTCCTGTTTTATTCCAAATATCTGTCCAAAAGCAAAAAACATTACCATGTAAAAGACATCAAAATTACATTTATTAGTTTTATCATACGAAAAGAATAAAAAGAGGAAGAGGAAGGTTTCCTGGGAATCCTCTTCCTTTGCTTCGTTGCATTTCTAAAAAGAAAAACCTGCAGTATTTCTAGCACATTTCTAACAGGTACAAATGTTCAATTAAGGACATGATTTACCCATTCTTATGTTTCCACTCTCAAACATACAGCACTCTATCATTGCCACATGAAAAATTCTACTGAGCTTCAGTCAGCAGACTGGTAATTCTTTTGGGTTTTTTTTGTTTTTTTTTCTAATATCTTTGGTCTTTGGCTTTGGACCCTACACTATTTTCTGCAGATTTACAGAAAGTGTGGCAAACGTTTTAACTTAATTCCATTTAAACACCATCATTTTTTACAATAATCTCTCATTTTATCAGATGACTAATGGAAAAACATCATTTCTTCTAATATTCAAGGGAGAAAGAGGAGAAGAAAAAATTCTAGTATCATCAGTAATAATGCGAAGAAAAGTAATTGTCAACTAGTGAGGAATAAAAATTTTTTTAATACCTGGAAAAGAGCTAGGAAAAAAAATTAAATAGAATTCTAAAATAAAATTGGCTCACCAGGATACTGTTTTGGTGTCAGCTCCAATTTATGAGAAAATTGCATGGCTCCAGTGGTGACATCTATTGTATAAACTTGTACAGAGCCGCTGGAAAAAAATTACACATGCTATTAGTGCTGTTAAACTATCAGAGCATTCAGATTTTTAATTCATATCAATAGCTGTTTGGTTGGGCTTTTTCTTTTTTCTTTTGAAAAAGCATACTCAGAAATGATCTGTTCATATAYACAGTTTAACAAAAGAGAACCTGTCTGTAACACAAATTTCTGACAAGAGTAAGTTCTGATCAAGGCCAAATATTCTTGTAACTATTAGTTTTTCCTTCTAAAAAGGAGSGAAAACAACCACCTCACACCTTAACATTTATGGATGTACCTGCTCTTATATATTTAATATACTGTGGCAAGCAACTTTAAAGCACTTCACAAAACCTATCCACAAAAACCTTTGCAGAATACTTCTGTGAACTCAAAACTTGGCTACATTGGTTACAGAGCACTGAAATTCCATTTTCTGAAAACACATGCATACACTAACTCTAGTATTTTTATGGCTTCCGACTCCATGACAATTCATATAATGGACACAGTATTTATTACATGCGGAAATTTCATCTAAAGTCCATAATAAGATCAATGAACTATAATCATTTTTGTTTCAAAGGCAAACAGTAAAATACAACACTACTTCTAAAACCTAGAATATGCAAGAAAACAGTTGAAGACTAAAGTACTATGATGACCAGCTTCTTACAGAATGCTCTAAAAATTACACACTCCAGCCATTCTAAAACAGGATTATGCAGGAGAAACTGTGCTAAAAAAMACAGTAAAGCAAATAACAAAACCAAGGGCATTTTCCTAACCTATTAGTTAATGGATATTTCCATTTTTTACCAACGGGCAACATTTTTCTCAACCATATCAGCACTTCATATTGTTCCTGTTTCTTGTGTTCTCTCTAATGAACACAGCTGCTTAAAATCGATTTTATAATCTTGCCTTGAGATTAACTGGGACAGCAGCACATTCCCAATACTTTCTGCAGCTATTTTTATTTTCCACAGCTGAAAAAACTAACATCAATCCCAGCGTTATCACAACCAGGCAATCACCTCTCCCCTCCTCCAGGCTAGTCTTGACAAGGTGTACTACAGGCCCTTTTGCTAGAGGCTAGGTTCATCTTTAAAAATCTTCTAGCCTCTTGCTAGTAAGTTTCATCTTTAAAAATCTTCACACATCTTTGTTATCAGAAACTAGCCCCTATGCTTTATTAGAAAACCTCTTCCATTCAATTTGCCTTACAAAACTTACTTGGCACATCCAAACGCCATTAGCCTGTATTTGTTGTTTACTGCCACACAGGTTCCATCAGTCACATCTTGAGCCCAAACACCATGGAGYTGCTGCAAAGGAAAATCCACATCACTTTTAATTATGATACTTAGTTTCTACCCACATATTTTAAACAAAATTCTGCTATAATTCAACCAAAGCTGTCCAGGAAACAAAGCTTTATAGCACCAAGCCCAGTACTGTCCAGTTAGTTCAACCTGATACATAGCCAAAAATGACCAAACAATATGGACACAGCATACATACATAAATATACATATATAGGTGTCGGTACAGTGATCAAACCCTTCTACACTGTAATGCAGCTGCCTACTGGCGATAACAATCAGATATTCCACAAAACGGTAACAACAACCTTTTCTCTATGAGTTTGTGCATTAATTACAGGTTTCCAACCACGTTTACAAGGCAGACACCACCACAATCTGGATCAGCCAAGCGACCTTCATCACCTAGGCATTCTTCTTTACAGCATGTGGATCTACAGCAAGAGGCATAGCTGTATTTTAAATATCAAAAATTATGCTGATAGTTAAACTGCATTGTATATTAATGCAGAAATAGCAAAACAAAATCTTATACAATCTTTTGTTTCAATATCCAGGCAGATTGTATTTTTACCAGAAATTCCATTTCCACTGCAAATTTCAGTACTAACTGACATGGCACAGTACTAATTGACATGGGATAAGTAGTCTCCCTACAGACTGACATTTCTCTCTACTTCTTGTTAGGAACAATGGAAATGTTACACAGACTTTTATTATTAGAGCTTGAAATAACCAAAGCAAATTAGGAGTTWGGGTGCGACTATAAAAACCATAATTAAATTCTTAACTGAAATAAAGCCTAATGATAAAAACGCAATTGGCTCCTTTATTTCAGAATCACATGGTTTATAATCAGAATGGCTTGGAAAAGCCATATTGCTTAGGACAGATTCCCTTAAAGCAATTCCTGAAATCTATCAGCATGAAAAGCGATAGATCTGTTACAGCTAAAAGCCTGCAGCAGAGCTTATGATACATCTTACCTGGAGATTCTACCTCTTATCATACCCCTTCCTATAACTGGCAGCAGGAAGTTGTTTGCAGAGATGGGAACACAACTTCAGAAATATAATGAGATTGTGAAGTGATATATAATTAAAGATCAAATCTACTTCTAAAAATGCTCTCCAACAAGCAACTACTAGATAATCCAGTTTAAATTATGGTACAAAATCCAGCACTGCTCTCATGTTACCTTTTAAGCATTTGGTGCTTTTAACATCTGTTTTTAGATAAGCTGAAGTTAAAATGACAAGCTAACTGAAACACAGAGAGCAGAAAAAAATTGCGGAAGGTGCATCAGAAATATTAATGGAATGATATATACCTCAGCAGTGAATCTGCTTGACATTGGTGTAATGAAACCAACTCTTCCATCATTAAAAACAACAGCAAASCCGTCAAGCGTGGCACAGTACTCCATATCCCTGATATGAACACCTTCAAAGCCCAAAAATGAACCTGCTAGAAAACATAAGTGATTTTACAAGACATCAGCACAGTGGCACTGCAAACTGACTGAAATTTCATTTCTTTCCTTATTACTTCACAGCAAAAGCTGATTTCAAYAGGTAATTTATCAACATTTTATAAAAAGGACATTTTTTTCCTCTTTTACATTAGAGGTTATTTCTCAAATATTTAACAATCTTAAGCAAAAACAAACAAAAAAAATCCTACCTCTAGAAGACTGTAGGTCCACAGAAAATGGAACTGTGTGTAGGTTGATGGCCTTCCTTCCATTGATCATGCCATCCCAGTGAATGAGATGGAGAAATCCATCCGCAGTTGCAACAAGTAGATCTTCTAACATAGACTGCAAACTAACAAATGCAATTGTTATTCTCTAAAAATGTGCAGATTAAAACAGAAATACCAGCTAATGGTATTTTAGGCTTTGTCTGCAATGTAGTTATGTCTGCAAAGCAGCTATGTCCACAAATTACATAAAATGTTATGAATGAACTAAGTGCAGAAGCCCTCTAGACAGCAGAAGTACCAAGGTCATAAAATAGAGTATATATGTTTCTTCTCCTCAAGAATCAGTTTGTGAACACATCTGTGTTKTTACAGTAATTAACTGATATATGAACTGTTAAATGTCATTCTATATAGTTTCAACAACTTTTCATTCATGCTCAGTCAGGATGTTAAGTGTTTATATACAGGGAATACACCATGAAAAAGATGTGGTAAAGAAAACGTTACTCTAAAACAAACTGACAAATCTAGGTTAGTAGTGGGTGAGGTGCTGGAATTCTATCCATAGTTTTGCTCTGATATATATATATATATGTGTTCATAAAAACTCTAATTCACACATGAGAATCTAAATACATAATAATAAAATTAAATGTATACCCTTAAAAGTCAAAAATAATCCTCACAGGCAAGTAAAGAAAAATCTACTTTACATATAATAATTCCCAAACAGCAACTCGTATTTTTAACTTCTTAGAATAATCAGAAGGTTTTTTTTCCCTTTTGGCTTTCCCTTTCCCTTTATAACAAGCAAGTGCTATATGCAGAAAAAGTCTTAGCATATAAGTGAGCACACCTTGTGATAGATGCTTGTAAGTCCAGCACTTTCTTCATTTCTAAATTTAATGAAGGAGCACATTGTTCCTCCTTATAATGTGGGGTTCCCTTTACATGTGGGCTTCCTCTAAAAGAAAAGAGAAATACTAAAATTGAAACAAGATTTATCTCAAAAGAGGTAACAGCTATTGACTCACATGAATAACGTATACCTTCTCAATCCTCCACATATATTTAGTTTATTTTAGAAATGTACTCATTTCACTTCTCATGGAGATAAACACAGAACATCCCCAATTCTTTCTTTACCAAAATGAACTGCTGATATTGTAGATTGCTCAGGTTTCTTGCAAAATCAATGTTTATATTAGTTCTGTACACATATCCCAAACAGTAGGCATTCAGTACAGTAATCCAGATGATCATTTCCCCATTAACAATAAACTTAAGACCTACAGTAAGAAAAGACATGGTCATCCATGGATCTTCCTCCTCCAAACAGGCCACCGTACCATACCAACTTTGAGATGAAGAGAGCTTCCAACTTTTATTTCCCTTTTTTTTTTTTAAAGTCACATGATCTTCTCTCATAAAATGAAACTATTTTACAACAAAATGCAGCATCACCAAATAATTCCATACACATCTAAGTTATCTAGGTTTGTTTAACAATAGTATTTTCTTTGGAAAATTGACCAACAATCACAAATATAGAAATATTGTGCCATTCAGCACAGACTACAGCGCTACACTAATCASCAAGATCAAATTTGCATGAAGAATGTATTACTGAAAAACTGAATCTGTTCTAGCTTCATCAGCCATAAACAAGAAATGGGCAAACAAATTCACATAATCGTGACCTGGATTCTAACTGACAAAATGCTTTATTTTACATGAGCGCAGCCAAAGCAATTGCAGTTTTTTAAGTGAGTTTAAGTTCATACGTATACCTCAACTTCCTTTCTGCCTTGTTTGACCTCAGTTTATGCCACAGTAYCTTTGCTGTATAAAAGAAGGTGTGGTTTCCATAGGAAACAATTTATATGAATTATGTCTCGCTATAAAGTAGTAATAGRATTAAAGATATTTGCTAGCTAAGACCAGACCACAATAACCTTTGATATGCTCAAAATAACAGAAGGAGCTAGTAACACCTTTCTAGAACAAAATCTGTTGTCCATCAAGAATTTTAGTAAAAACTTTAAGACTGATTTATTGCCTATGAACAGTACGTTTATACAGACATAAAATTATCAAATGCTTGCTTTGCATTTCAAAACATAACTAACCACAAAATACAGTGTTGGAAAAAGTATAACTTTATAGAAGGTAGCTATTGGGCAATGACAGGAGGCCTGGATATATAAGAAAAGCTGCCAAGCTAATAACATTATTTTTCTTGATTTGTAAAGAAAAGTCCACCAAATTTGCGCTGGCACCTTGTGTAGTCCAGAACTTCATTTCAGCCATCATATAGAGCATTAATTCCTCCAGATTTCTGCTATCCATCTCCCAGGAGAAGGATACAAAGAACATGTACTACTGCTTCTTCTCCTGGCCTCCAAAAGTGTTTGGAAATGTCTTTCAAGTCATGGGTCCTTCTTTGATCCAGTAGCATGGAATGCACTTAAAGGGTAAAGGATATGAAATAAAAGAGGTATAGGTAATRACATACTGCTGAGCAAGGCCACCTAGAACCAATGGTATAACTGTATCAACTAAAACCATTAAAATGAAAAACTATTGTATATATATTAACTATGCCATAAGTGTTATTGCCATGTGTACCTAGCACAACATTCAATTCAATTCTTGTATTTGCCTGAGGTATACAACCAAGTATAAATGCAACTTTTCTGAAGAGTACAAACTATAAAGCCAGATTAAGAACATACACTTTAAAAGTCATCTTTTGCTGGAAGAGAATGCAGTCTCCATGGGGGCAGATTTTTGTTTTCAAAACCAGAGGTGTTTTTAAAAATGTAGGCATGACTACTCACAATTTTATTTGTTAATTTATTCTTAGGTGCAGGGTATATTTTTTCCTTGGAGGCATTATTGTCACAATCAAACTCAAACAGTCAGTATTTTAATCAGTTTACTATGATGACGTTAAATTCTCTAAATCAATGTAAACTTACTATTGGCAGGGAGGCAATCYGAACTACACTGTGTTCACAAATGGTCTGCGTTTTCATGAGTCAGCTTCAAGTTACTTTGACCTTTAAACCGAGAATGCTGACAGACAAAGGAAGGAATGTTTGGTCTGTGTTGCCACATCAGCATCTGCTACATTTCAGTCCAAATTTTAAGTTAACTTGGCTTTGCACAAAATCTGAAAGGAATGCATATTCTGCAACGACTAAACTCAAAATGCGAGACAAAAACATGATTTCAGTTCTACTTTTATTTCCATACACATATCAAAACACAGTCATGAAAGGAATGAGTTTCTGGTTTAAAGAAGGGAGAGAAAATTATGAGTCAAGGATACCAAGGTCTGACCCTTTATTTTGGGGATTTCCATTAATAACTGAAGGCCTGTGTGCAAGAAAGGTTTAAGTTCCATGTTCAGGTATTTTATTCATTAACTTTGATGATATTCGTCTTTTCTGTTGATGCAACTCAAATGAAGTTACTTAAGACTCAGAGTTTAGAAAAACTTTCCACTACATGTGTGATCTATAAATATCCCAAGAAGGAGAAGGAAAAAATAAAATAAATAAATGGTAGACTGTTCTTTAATGATAAAATGCAGTATTTTAAGGGAAGTTTCAGGCCTTCCTAAACCACCTATTTAGATGGAGCTTATAAATCACAAGCTTCATTCTCTGTTCCTGTTTCACATGTCATAGACAAAGTGCTTGTTCACAAAATGCAAACTCTATATGGTTAAATAAAATGCCTTGCAAAAGCTGAAAACCTAAGTAAACAAATCTTTCAGATTCTACTTTCAAAAAGGATTAAGAATAGTAGATAATTCTGTGTCAATGGTTGCCTTCCCTTCCAAAGTAAACAGTGATTCTCTAAGCTTCTTCTCCTTCAGTCTTCACTAGTTGCTCAATTCCAGTCTTTATTTCTCCCAAAAGAAAGAAATGCTGCCATACACCTAAGTGAATTGCTAAAATTATCAGCATGAAAACATTATTTATTGTATTCATAAGGGGGAATAATTTGCTCAAATTAGCTCAAATATACAAGTATGAGAAAACTGAGAACTGCATTCAATATATATTTAGTACTTCTCAATTTTCTCATACTTGTATTTTTGATATATGTATATATCTTTCTATGTATTTCTATATATCATGAGGAAGGAGAAATAGAAAAAGGTTGGGAGATTTTGGGGGGACTGGGGGAGCTCCAGGGAAGAGAGAGAATGCAACCAAATACTGGAACTTGGTGTTCCAGTAACACAGTGTTGCATTTGTACCTTCCATTATGTAAGGGGTAGTTAAATGAACCAGTATAATGATCCAGAATTAGCATTACCAGGCTTAGTTAATACTAGCAGAAGCTACCAAAAGATATTTAGAAAGAAGGTTAATTCAGTAGAAACTGGAAAACTCCCAAAACTTTTTTTCAAATCATCAATGATTAATGCATTTATAAATACTTCCCTGGATTGTCCTTTAATATATCTATGGATGTCTCCTCTACTAAAATTAGTGGGAAAATATGTATCATAAACATTTGAAATCTTTTAGTGCCTACTATCCTACTCTTCCTTTGGAACTACAGTTATTTCCTTCAGGTCTGTTTTTTTCAACTCAAGAGGAGTTTGTTTCTCTGAACAGGTAGCAATGGAGAGTTAAAAAGGGTGTATTTCTAAACTAAACAAATTTGTGTTTGTTAACCAACTMCTGCTCTTACTAGCAGGCTGCCACAGAGAAGGACACAAGGGTCCAACTCTTACTGGAAAATCCAGGCCCTGCTCCGTTGGGAGCTCATCAGCAGAGCTTGCACTTAYGGACTTCTTTAATTTGTGACCAAGGTCAACGTAACATCACTTTGGTGTGACTGTTTTAAAGAAGTTTCCAGTTTTTCAAAACAATGTTCACTTCATTTTTCTGTTCTGCTGGGGCACCTTATTTGAAGGTAGAGATAACAGATACAGATTTAAGTTTCCACTTCACTATTTGACATAATCAGAGTAATACAGAAAGCTGTTTAATGAAAAGCTGTTTAATAAAAGCCAAGCATTACTGACATTTATAAATGAGCTAAACRTAAGTATAATAATGTAAAATAGTGATATTTACATTTTACAATTTTTTTTCCCTCCTGAACGCCCTAGACCTTAGATACTTGAGTCAAAGTCCACTCCTGATTCAGGGCCCAGTATCTTTTATGGAAGCCACATGTCTGTGACTGCACTTCTGGTGTAAATACAGCTCTTGGGCAGGAAATGCAGTGTCCCAAACCCCTTCTCCTGTGTCTTCAAGACTGCCACGCGGTTCTGATATCAGTTTATGACTTCAGATTTGGGCTGTCACACACAGAACTGCGTAATTGCTAACAAAAACATGGCAGCGTAAAAGGTATTATTTGATCAGAGCACTCTATTTTCAGGGATTGGAGTAACTGAGAAATTGAGTATGATCTACTCCAGAAAAAAAGAAACAAACTTAAGTATGTGAGATTATACTGCACCTCATACCAAAGGTATACCAAAGGCATACAAAAAAGGTGCTTAAACTTTTATCATTAAGGGTGGGCAGAAGTCAATATATAATAAATTTACTAGTTGAGTCTCTCGACAAATGAAACTGTAACACTTGCATATTACATAATTTTAAAACCATAAGTACAGTTATGGTTGGATAATAGTTTATAGAAGTTCAAAGATGCTGTCATGATTAACAAATCCTATGCTATGCTTCCAAATGCTTCCAATGTGCCTAAATGTTAGATATAATAATAAAAAAAATAAAAAAAAGAATGAGTCAAATGCATCATTTTCAACGTGCCAAATCACACCTGCTTGAAAAGTAATGATGAGATTTTACCACAAAACACCCACACAGAAGCTTCAGACTAGTTCCTTACTGAAGTACCTTTAGACCAAGTAAGTGAAACGAAGACAACCAATTACTTTTATACTACTTTAGGAGTATGAAGCTTGCAAGTACTGCTGTTAAAATGGTTCCTTCAACAGTGTTTTTGGCAAAAAGCATTTGATGTTTATGCAATTAGGAACTTTATATATGAGGTGAGAAAGAATGTTTGTAAATGAATTTATACCATGAATCAGTCATGGGGGTTGCTCTCCCGGAAATCATTATAGCAGAGAACTGGCAACATCAAGTACTGTTGTATCAGCACAACCAGATAATGTTTGTTAATTGTTCAAGAGTTCATGTACAGCCTCTAGTTAGTTTACAGTCTGCACACCTGTAAATCTCTCTTGCAAGAGAGATTTAAGTGGACTGCATTATCATTTCCAATGTCTGAAATGAGCTGCTGCAGGAACTCTGCTTTCATACATAGCATCTCATGTCTCCTAAACTTGCATGTACCATCAGATAATGCAACAGCCACCAGAAGAAATGTGGCATGTACATCCAGAGATTTACATATAACTGTACCTCTATATATATACACACACACATATAAGTGTGTGTATACATATCTATATATAGAATGACAACAGCTAGACAATTAAGAATGTACCAGAGCCAACAGAAACAGCCAACGGAACAAATTACAAAATGTTCCAGAATAAGAACTTTATTCTTAAAGGATAATTTAATGAAATTATTAACAAATAGAAATAAAATTATTAATAAAAATATAAAATGAATTTAAAAGATTTATTGTATGTTAACAGTTGTACTGTATATTAACATCTTAATATACACCTTAATAGCTTTCTGAAATTTAAGAATAGTAGTAGTTAGAATACTAATCAACAACTCATTTTTAAAAGCCACTTGATTTACCAAACTTTTATTCTGGATTCAAAGACTTCTTGATGAAAAATTAAATATCCGGAACCACATAATGGGCTAAAAAGCACCGCAGTGGTTAACAGGATGTCTGCAACTAATCTAGTTTTAAACATACATCACTCAAACAATGCCAAAATTATCTAATTGGAAAAAAAAAACCCACATTGTAGAAGTTTAGTGCMAATGTAATCCAGAACAAAAAATCCTTTACTAAAGCAATTAACTGTACATCTAATCAGTTGCCCCTTCACAGGTGATGATTATTCTAGAGTTTAARGGTCAGACTTTTGTACACAGCAGTCTTAAACCTACTGAATCAGAAAAAAAAAAAACAGTCTTGAAGCTCATGGGTAATTTACGGTACCTGTAAATAGTCTTGCTAAGGAAAGGAAAAGGATGCAAGAAGTGCATCCTTGGACATGAGTAGGACATGAATAAACCCATAAATACTACATCTTCCCTTTACAAGGTCAACTCAAGCCTGCACTTGAATAGAAAAAGAAATCTGAGGAAAAATAAAACAATCCACGCTTACCACAAATCACTTATAAACAGGTTTCGTTTGCTTTGTTTTCAAATGAGAAAGTGTCCTTGTCATAAAACCACTGTGCACTASGTCTTCACTTACAAAGCTTAAGTCATTCTCTTGCCAAAATACATCAGCATGAATAAATAGTTCATTATAAATCAGCCTGTACTGWAAGGGTATTATAGATCTCAACACCATGAAACAAAGCAGTATCTGTATAAACTCCTTTGGGAACAGTTCCAAAATATATTGCCATCCCTTGTCACACTTTATAAAATTACAAATTCACATGCACATATGGCCACTTGTGTAAGATGGAGAGCTGGAGGCTATCTCACTAGACATACATTTCTTTATATTTTGTGGTTTTTGTTTTGGCTTTTATATGGCGGCAGAAAACAGACTGAATTAATTGAGGCAGTACTGTGTGTTTGTGTTCACTTAAGGAAAAGTATCCCAGAATGTGGGCTAGCAGCCAACGAAGAAACCGTTCCAGGTCTGCTCAGAGCTGGAACAAAGTTTCTAAGAGCTGAAAAAAAAAATGAAAAGAAAAAAATCTGGCTCAATTTGAAAACGAATTACTACTTTATTTCCTTTATTTTATCCTAGCAAGTTAGGCAGAATAGGTTAGGTTTTTCACCGAGCACTCACTCCAGGAGTGGACTAACAGTTGCTAGCMATTTTTAACAAAGACAAAAATCTTTCCTTCCATAAACAATTTCAATTCATAACATTCCTAAGGTATTACATGTTATCAAAACAAAAATTTTATCAAGTGACTGCAGAAGACATCCCAAACATTTCCTTTCTACTCTAAGTTCTCAATGCACACATACATCAATTTTACTGTGTTACACCTACATTTTATGTGGATAATGGAACTGCAATATCTAATACCTAACAAGCATTTTAATTGCTATAATTGAGATAGAATCAGAGGCTAGGAAAATTTATCTGTTTCTACAGATAATAGCAGGGGAGAGAAGTCCTCCAAACTCCAACAGACCTATTGCAATGCATATACAGTCATAATCAACCAAAGCGGTTCTAATACTTCAGAAAACCTCCAATGCAGTCTTTCAAAATTATAAAAATCCAGCAGGCAAGAACCTAACATAACCATTAAGCAAAATCCGAAGCTGTTCAGAATTTTAAACAGCTGGGAAAAGTCTGAGCRAACTGTCACTGCTACGAAGGGTCCATTAGGCAAAGAAATAGATATTCTACAGCATCGCCGTCTTGTGATGTGCTGTGGTAGAGGGCAAGGGGTGACAGCTAAAACACTCTTGTACCTTCCYCCACAACTGTGCACCGCGCGTTTCACGGCATATACTGACTTGTGAGCTTGTGAGGTACTGCCTGGTGTCACACTGATAATAAAAACACAGAAAACCCTCAAAGGTTTAAACCATGCAACATGCCAAGTTTCACATCAGGTCTCAGAGTGGTGAGACTTTTAAAGGCTCCTCCATGGCACATAAAGCCACATGAACACACACGATAGTAGCCAGTATGATAACACACAGAGCCTTCAGTACTCTGCAAAGGTGGAGAGGTCCAGCCACTTGCTTTGCTTTTTCCTCCTTGTTTCTGCCTCCTCGAGCACCCCTCATCTTGGGAAACTGCTCGTCTGGCCCTCGCGAGGAGCCGGGACGGGCGAGGGAGAAGGGAGAGGGGCCTGTTGGGCTTCACCGCCAGCCACGTAGAGCAGCCTGATGTGACCCAGGGCGCCGCAGCACGGTCGCAGGGGGTGGCCGCAGCGGGACCAGGCCGCTGCCGAGGCCGCCACCAGGCCCCGCCAGGCCATGACAGGCCCCGCCAGGCCATGACAGGCCCCGCCAGGCCATGACAGGCCCCGCCAGGCCATGACAGGCCCCGCCAGGCTGCGTGCTCATCCGTGCGCCCTCCACAGGAAGCCACTTCTGTAGACACTGTCCACACCACTAGAAATAACATCCAACCTCTCCCCTTTGGGAACAAACGCATCTCAGAAGATAGTTCGAGTTTCAGATATGTTGTTCGTTTGTTTTGAAGAGTGAGCAGAGACAGGAGGGGTTGCTTTTGTTTTAATAATTAACCCCTAAAAGGAAAAACTATAGAACTGAATTAATGAAATTCAGAGCTCTGTACCATTAAGAAAAAAAGTTCACCTAAACATCACAGAATAATTTCAGGTTAATTACAATTAATTCACAAGCAAATTCTAGTAGGTTTGTATCTTTCTTATTATCTAAGGCAAAAAATACTAATATTTTTGCAAGTTCACAAGCTTGAGGGCTAAATATAGACCAGTAAGTAATCCCAGTAAGTTTAGTGAGATCATTTATCTTCTTAAAGCTAATCATATGCATTAGTCTTAGGAGATTGGAGCAACCTATCATAAACACTCTAGCAGCACACAACGTCTCCCACATACCTACAGAATTAATGCTGATGTCCTCCGCGGTTACACATCCAAAGCCTCACGGTAAGCCCAGCTAACATAAAGACATATTTCATAAAAAATAAGCCTGTAGCTCGACAACACAAATCAATAAATATTTTCTATACTACTGGACMAGTTATCCACTGTTTGATGAAAGGGTTTATTTTTAAAATCTCCTACAAATTGAAACAACCTTTCCAATAAGTTCTCTTATTGTAACCCATTCTATAACTTTATACATATTTCCATATATTTAAGATTTTAGGAATAAAAGAACAAAATGTTCCTAAAAGAATAAAAGCAGCATACCACCAGTTCACATTTAGTCTTGTGTATTTCATACAGTTGAGGACAAACTTCAGCTGTCATACATCTGAACCGATTTTCAACAGGTTAGTCTTTTCCGCCTTTTTTTTTTTTTTTTTAAAGGCACTAAGTTAGAAGAAAAAGTCAGTTTGTCACTTTGAAAAGCACTATTTTGGTCTCACAAGATGCCAGTCATTGACATTGCTCTATTATGCTTTCCAATTAATTAAATTTCACTTAATTCCAGAGCTCTAAGTGCCATTTCAGAGGCAAAAGATACATAATAGTAACAATGCACATGTGCATAAAATTGTCTACTCAATAAAGCAGGGACTCATTTGGAAATCATTTAATACTTGACATATACCAATAAAACTTTAAGACCTACTTTAAAAGAATTTCTTTTTCCTAGTCATAAGACCAGAATAAGTCTTTTCTTTATCATAGAGAAGCAACAGAAATTTCAATACTTACTTGGGATACATAGGTTCGTATAGATACTTGTCTCTTGCTGATGGAATTTCAAAAAATAAGATGTATCCATTTGCAGTCTGAAACAGAAACAGTGATTAAATATGTATCTAAAATATCTGCACACACAATACTTACGCAGACTCATGATTTCTATGCAAGTCTCAATTCACTACAAACACATACTCAGTTTTGCATATATTTAAAAACCTGTCTCTCAAAATTCATTGTTGACAAAATCCATACTACCTTAAAATCTACAACATAGATTAATTAGTAGGGAGAAAACAGGAAAAATAGTCAGATGTATGTCCCCAGGAGATTTTATTTTGATTTACACTGATTTAAACACATAAAAACTGACAACTACCTCAGAGAGTAAAAAAATGTAGGTGTCTAATTACCACAAAAAGAGAACATTAATACAAAACACAACCAATAGGATAGGTGAGGCTTTCAGAGAAAATTCCAACACAGAGCGACACAACAGAGTGCCCTGGAGCCAGGCACTGACTGAGCATCACTTGCCCAGATAGGCTCTAAAGAATCCCAACATCACCCTCTGCCATTAGGTACCACAATACCTTTAAAAACTTACGTCTGGAAAATTTTTCTTAATTCTAGCCCTAGTCTGAAAGTCCATTATTTGTGACATCAAATTATAACACTAATTGGAGAACAAATACCAACCATTTAGTTATCAGATGTTCCAGTCAGGACCAAAGGCTGAGCCAGCATTTGTATAAATACAGGACAAGTATGTGAYCAATAAGGCTGGTAGTCCAAAATTAGGAAGTAGTATTTTTTTAAAAGCATAAACATATCCTGCAGATAAACTGCAAAATGCATTCCAGTTCACCATGTTTATGTACAATCATTTTATTTGGGAGTGGGCATGGATCTCAAACACTGTGAAGACAAGTAGCAGTGAAATGAACGGTTTCAAGTTGCTTTGTAGGGTTTGCTTCCTTTCTTTCATTAAAGAAAAGGGATATATTCTTTTTAAGTTGCTTTAGCAGCTTGAAGACGTCATTTCTCCCTCCTCCACTTAAATGTTTTGCCTTATAATGAAAGAAATTCAATGTTTCAGCTTCCAAGACAAGATCCAAGAACGTACTTGAGATCCAAGAATGTACTTAATAAAACACAAGCAAAGTAAATATCTTTCCTGTGCATGAGTAAGAAACGCACCACTGTGTTGATCTCGCTGAAAACAAGTGGAAGCTTTCCCCTACGCAGTAAAATAACGTTCAGGTGTAATGTAGTAACAGAACATACACTCATTTCTAACATCTTTACAAGTATTTTCCATTACATCATTAAATATTTAACCCATAAGTTACCTTACACTGGAAGGAGAAGTAAAACTATACTGTGAAGTATCTTTACACAGATATTAAGATACAAAAGGCCTTCCTGAACTCTACCCAGAGCAGAATTTGCTATTGTCACCAGTTCATTTCGGCGCAGAGCCTCAGATTGCAACAATAGTCATTTGGATTGTAAAAGCATTCTTCCATGCACTTGCTGTCAAGTTATCATATTCATTCTGTTAGGTTTTTGCACTGCTATAGAAATGTCTGTCTTATAAAAACTCACTACAGTTACCATCACTATCACCTGTTCCCTGATCGGTCTCATCTCAGACTCCTCTCAAGACGGCATCGTCTTACAGATCAAAACAATACATCAACTGCCTTAAACCCAGTTTCACAATAGGGTTTCTCATATGCTGTGATGTTGAATGATGCTCCAATTTAGCTATGGGAAAGGATGCAGAAGACTAGTCTATTAGAAGTCTTGACTGCAGCAGGGGAAGGACACAGATATCTTGTACAGTCATCTACAGTGAGGCACCTTAATCCAGTTCACAGATCCAAGTCACAAGGGAGAAATCTTTATTCTCTAGCAAAGAAATTCACTATATCTTGTATTTGGGGATAAAAGCATCACTTAGGATCATCTCCCTTAAGCCTTCAAGGCTGCATCTCTAACAAAAATACTCCATTTGTAAATCTGGTCCTTTGAAGTGAACAATTTTAGCATCAACATCTGAAAAATGAATCTGCAGAGAGCAAGGTCTAGACTAAAATGTAACTCAAACTTGAGGTATATTCCAAAAGCTTAWTTAAAAATCTTGCAAAATCTACACAAAGGTGTTAAAACAACAACAACATGTTTCAATAGGTTAATTAAGCATGCAAAATGCTAGTAAGCATATGAAACAAAAATATCAGTAACCTAAATAAATTTAGTCCTTTCACAACTACTTGACCRTTCTGAATTTTCATTTGTGACACTTAAATTTACAAACTCAGACTTTAAGATATGAGCATTTAGATTTCAATGCCATCTTTCAAAAAGAACACTGACCTCACTGAGTAATGTAACCAGAGGGATGTAAAGCTACTCTGACTGTCAGCTGAAACACAAGGTCCCTTGAGTAAATGAATCACAACATCACACAGATAATCTATAAATTAAATATAACAAAGAGTCTCTTCTGAACAAGACAGTTTGTGACTATATGCTGTACTATAAAATTGAAGAATTTTTGTGTTGTTATAAAACTTACAAGAATCTCCTTTTTTTTTGTCTTTGTTGCTAAGTATTAGTGTTTATGTTCTGAAGATATAACATGAGATTAACAAGAGTGGTTACATAAAATCCTTTTAGGTGTTTAAACGTTATAAATAAACTACTCGGTGAAGTCTATTTCAGGATTACACACAAGAAAACTGGAGCACAGGAAATGTAGTTGATTTACATAGAATCACAAAGACAATAGTAAAGGCAGGAATTATTCCATAAATCATCTGAGGTATTTTCCACTAAGAAAACAATGTCTGTGTGGTTCAAAGTCAATATACAAGGCACRATGGGCATCAATTCAAGTACAAATTAGGAGATGAACTCACTGTACCAACAAACACMACAGCTGTCATCCAATTTGTGATTCCACATACCCAACTTTGGTGAGGAATTTTAAATATTTAATCCTYCTCTTCTGCACCTTCTCACAAGAAAACCTCACATTTAACAGCCTAAAACTTTGCAGTTAACATAACATTATTTTAAAAGCTACAAAAGGTAGCATACCTAAAATAAATAAATTGAGATTAATCTTCATTAATAGTCAMCAATAGTCATCAAGGCCATCCACACTCTGGCTCCTAAACTCTCAACTACTCACACCTTCGCTGTGAGGACCTTGCTGTCTGCTGATTCATTTTTGAGACGTTGATCCTGAAATTGTTCATTGCTGTAAGCCGGGCCTATCTATTGACCACCATCCCAAAGATTTTCTTCTCATGTGTACCCTAAAATTCTATTCCTTTCAGACATTTAACRGAAGTAAAGGTCTATGCATTGCCATCAGTACTACATATTACTCCTGCACCTTAAAGCCATAGTTTCATCATCTTTAGACTCACCTTTCTGGAAGACCTGACTTAGTTTTAGTTTTCGTTTCCATTAGGTTTGGTTTTCAGACTAGCCACATTTATTATGTCACCTAACTCCACCCCCACTATTTCTTTCATTCACATGCCTTGTCTGTAAACAGACCACAGAAAAGATCATATTTATTCTTCATGACTGGATTACTGAAGTAAAGCAATCACTCTGTCAACATATTCTTGGCATTCTGTTTCAAATCAAAGCACTGTAACATTTAACCAGAAAAAAAATACAGGTTTCTTGAGCAATTTTCATTCAGTCATCCAGAAAATTAGTACTATTGTATACATGTATGTATCAGTTAAATGTATATATACCCTACATGTCTCTGCATGGGAGCTTATAGGACAGTTTTTTTTTTTTTACAATAGTTTAATCACAATATAAATAATTTAAAAAATTCTGCTTACTGAGACGGCTATCATGCTGCTGTCAGGCCGCCATTCTGCCTGTTTGTAAGGTCCAAACTGAGAAGCTGACTTTGAATTTTCCTTGTAGCTTACAATTAATACACTGGGCTGGGGAGAAAAAAAAAGAACAAATAACAATAACTATGYGTTATGTGTAGAAGGAAAGCTAATTTTGTTGTTTGGTGATACACCTGTAGACAACTACATTTCTTCAGTAACAACATATTTCCATTAAAAAAACACAAGTTCAAGAAATAGATTACATACATATTGATTACACACAATAATCGACTACACACAATGCTTTTAAAGACATATCATGCAAAGTACCTGTGGCACTGAGAGTCCTAATCTCACCCTAAAACCCAACACATTGAAATAAAATGCCTCATTCTTCCATTCAGCCACCATTACAGAGAGGACAAGGACTTTCAAGCCAGACAYGGTGACAGATAATTTCAATGACAAAGAGCATCTCAAATAGGCCCTCAGCATTACAAAATATTATCAAATCATGTAGAATAAAAAAAAAAGTACAGTGAGCATTTAGTGTATTTCATTTACCTTATTCCTGCTGAATGTATAGGTTATCACAGAAAGTAAAAAAATCAGGAAATTATTTTCTATCTCTCAAAAAAAAGCATGAAATCATTCAACAAAGCCACATAAATAGCTTGATGAAAAGACTTTACATGTGATCTTATGAGAAGTCTTCATCATCACCTTTCTTTTCAGGAATACACGGTAGTTTGCCGGTCAAAAAACCAACACATTGCTATTATAATCAGTAGTTCATTTATTCATTTTCATGAAAGTAGTTGAGAGCTGCATTAGAGCAACCCTAACAGAAAGCTACCCTTACTGCTCCAGTGTGCTTCAGAGCATCCTTCTGATTTCCTTCCTAAAAACACTCAAGGCTATTTGTACTCACTTGCTCTGAAACCTGTAACAGGTTTCAGCCCAGATACATCCACACCTCTGCAACCCTCTGTTCTTTGCAGGACGGTAAAGAGGGAAGACACGTGTGTATTAGTTAGATGACAACTCTCTCTGCTCAGTATTCAACGGATTTGAGAAGTCAAGCTCTTGTCCTTGCAACAGTGCTTTCCCCCTGTCCTCATGGCAGACCCTCTCTCTAGACATGCCGGTGCCAAACGCAGTACTGAAAAGGGCACATGCTCCTCCTGCCCCGAGAGGAAAAAGGCTGAGCAGAAATCACYACGTTTGCAGAACGAAACCTTCCACCAAAGCGCCCCCAGAGCCACAGGCAACAGCAGCTCACTCTCGTTTCTAGTTATTCTACTAGTACTGATCGCAGTAACAATGAGTTTTAATTCCTCCCATATACTATGTGGATGTCTACAATCAGCTGCTTTCATTTCCATTAATAAAAATGTAATGTGAAAATTATTTTTTAAAAAAAGACAGAAAGAAACTAAATGATCAAGTACTCTCACCAGACATATAAAGAAGCTGAATCAACATAACATAGACGGTCCTAGCCCTAATAAATTCATGGTACGACCTCTCATCCTGTGAACACCATTCTGCACGTATCTTAAAATTTACATCCGCATAAAACTGAATTATCAAAAATTGAGTGAAACATTTATACTGAAATGTATAATAATCAACCTATCTTCAAGAATTTTTTATATCAGCTTTTTCTTGGCTAGGGTCTTCAAAATATATACATATAAAGCTATTTGCAAATTACATTTAGCCAATATTAAATCAATTACTAGCTACACAACCTTTCACTGCCTGGCTACATGCACMCTAATTGCCTCAGATAAGCAGAAAAAAAAGTATCTAGCGATAGCCCAGCCCTGGTGATCCGTGCTAATAACTCCGAGACCAATCCCCTTCTGTGGTGCTTTAAGCTTTTCACCAGCAGGCAAGAAAACCCTTTAGACCCTCACTAATGCTCTCCAGCACAGTTTTATTTCTGTTACTTTTACAGACGATGATGACAGCATTTATACCGTAAGGTTCTTGCGACRGTTGTTCTTTATAAAGGTATTATTACACCCTCTAACCTGGAAATTAGTTTAGCATAGCCAGCAACTATAAAATTTACATGAACAGTCTTCCAGATTGATTAAATTTTGTGCCTTACAGTCTGAGGACCAAAGTAACTAACATTAAGAACATAAGCATATTTCCTTTATGCAGCTAAAGATGTCTGTTCTCTCACTAAAAAAGCAGACTTTTCTTACTCAGTAGGTGCCAAAGTCTACCTAGCTAATGTTTAAACTGTAAATATTTCATTAATGCAATCTATTTCCATGTAACAAAATCCAAGAACATGATTTCCCATGGGAAAAAAACCTGACATACAAAATGAGCATATTTGTAAGCTTCTCACAGAGGTGTGCACAGCATGAACAGATATAAGCACAACACAGCTAGAGAGACACCTTGTTATCTTACTTTGCTCTCACAGAASAAAAACAAAAAAAACACCACTTATCACAAGAAGACACCTAAAATGTTTAACAGCATTGAGAATTGTACTGCTGCACTCCTTCTGTAAACCACTGAATATACTGGTAAAGTCTACATTACTGTGCAAGTGAAACAAGCTACTAAATGCTTTTTTTTTTTTTTTTAAACAAAAGAAGGGTCTCAGTAGCATAATTTTTTTTTCTAGCTAGTTTTAGATAACTCTAGTTATCTATCTATTACTGTGAGCTAGTTTTAGCTCACAGTAATTTCAGAAATAGCAAGTATTTAGGTTCTATTACATAGAATTTTCCTTAACCTTTATATGCGTTTCTCTTGTGGGAGAGGACTTTTTTTGTTTATAGCATTTTTGTATATAGGATTTTTATAGCAGCTTCATCAACTCCATATGGCTTTTTCTCTTCACAGTTCATCATGCAGCAATTGAAAGTTATAGACAAATCTATATAGGTATAATTGTAAAGAAACATTGACTTTATTACAATACCTAATTCTTAACTGAAAATCAACTTTAATGRTGGAGAATGAGCTTTTGAAGCAACTAGTGGCTCCATAAATACAGAAATTGATCTATCAAATAAAACCAGAGTTATTAAAATATTCATTTATATGTATTCTCTATTTTAATTACTCTAGCTTTATTTGATAGATCAATTTCTGTGTTTCTGCAAACATCAGTGACATTTTTATTTAACAAATAAGTCTATTTACATATTCATTAACAGAACAAAACTAAACACTTACAGTTTTTAAGGACATTCTATGCAATTAACTCTCTCTCTCTTTCATTATGAATTTAAGCTAGGAATATCTTCCCAAAGTAGATGAAAAGTAGATCCATAGTTTCACTATTTGGTGCARGTGAAAACTAGCATTTTGATACACCAGTCAGACCTCCCGTTAAGGCGTGCAAGGTCAGGCATTCCASAGGCTGCCGCTCTAGAAGCTGACAAGATAAGAAGCATCTCCAAAAGCATGTAGTGATACCATTCCCCACGAGTAAATAAGTTCTCCAGTACTGTTCTTAATAGTACTAAAATGAGAAATGGGATACAACTCCTTGTKCCCCTGAACACAGTAAATTTCCTTRCCTTTATTTAATCATCTACCATTAATCTACCTCACCTCACATTCCTTCTTCAAGGGAGCCCTTTCCACTCTGCTCTCACTCCCAAATCTTTACGTTTCTTCTCAAYAATGCCTATCTAGCAGAAAATATCTTTCTTACTGATGTCCATCTATGGGAATATTCACTGGAGATGACTGACTGCAAATACATTCTGGATGATCAATACTGAAAAAGAACAACTGCATTAATTTTAAAACAGTAACCAGCTAGCTTCATATTCAAATACACTAATGCAACAACCTATGTTAAAACTCACTTCTTATTCTGTTTGCTCTTTGTCAGTGTAAGGTTGTCCACTAAGAATTCTTTTGGATTTTCAGCTAAGAAATATTTGAAGATGCAGCTTTGTTGGCATAGCTCTACATCAGCATTAGGACAAGCGCTGCCATATTCATTTAGAATTTTGTTATTACTTCATTTAATTCTACCTTACAGGATAGAATTATAAGGATAAATCACACTTCCCAATTATTTTAAGCAGTAACTATGAGCAAGATGAACAATCTCGAAACTAGCTGAACCATATTAAGTAGTTTTCATGAARAGATTCATCAAAATATTCAAACCCTCCATCTGAATTCTCTCAGCAAAGTAGCAGCAATATCAGCATTTCAGAAGTGGAATTATCTCTCAGAGATGTGATATTATCATTTCCAAGTACAAGTGTTCCACCCCACATCTGATTCATATGCACACTGAATAAGCATTTAAATCCTAAACTAGGTTGTAGTGCATCTGAACAAGGGAGGACTAAAGAGTGAAGGGCATCCAAATGTAAGTAAATGCCTGAATCAATGGAGATGTAAGAAAATGATAGATCAGTAAGTTCTGAGGTATAAAGAGAGATAAAGTTACTGTTTCCATCTGGGGGAACATACAATTGGAAAAAAAAATTCCTTAATTTACATTCTCTCGTTTAGACGGCAACTGTGCACGTAGTGGATTTGATAGATAAGTTATATCTTTGTGGAAATAAAACGGAATACTAGTGGACAAGTTTTGAGAATCCACAGCATTAACACCTTTAAAAAGTAAGAGAGCAAGGAAAAGTGATAGAACTCTAAAAAATGTAATAGCAAACATTTGAAATGCAAGATCAAGCTGAGATGAGCTACTATCATTTAACTAGTGCTATTTTTACAAATTTGTGTGTGCATAAATTATCATTTTATAAGTGTATAATATATAATACCATATTATGTTTTTACAAAACGCATACACACACACTACACATACATATATTCAGCTTGCTAGTCAAATTGATGAATGATTTTTTTCAACTTGATAACATGCTCTATAAATAAAGTTATGAAAACTGATAGGACAAAAATAAGAAGCAGTAGTCTCTCCCTGGTCTTTAGATGTTCCTGTAAGGCAGCAACACTCATTCTTTATACTATAGAAAGAAGTAGTTCTGCACTAAATGAGAGCTGCAAAACCATAACAGTCCTAGAAATTAGGCAGATATGTTAAGCAGTTGACACATTAAGCCACACTCAATTTCTCAAGT